GTATCATATATGGTTCTTAGATATAGGGTACATGTATTGTTTATGGTTCTTAGATATATGCTTTATTAATTGTCTATATGGTTTTTAGGTTCAGGTTATAAGTTTTGTCTATATGGTTCTTAGGTACAGTCTATATGAAATGTATGTATTGTTGATATGGTTCTTAGATACAGGCTTTATATATATATATTGTAATTCCAGTGCAGTAAGTAAACTACTAACATGATTAACATGATCAAAGTGTAACCAAATAATCATAAACATTAGGGGAGTATTCAAACTAATAAAATGATCAACTGATATAATAACATGATCATGAATTTTTAGGGCAGAAATCAAAACTATCGGCATGATTAAACCAGGTTATGAAGGACAATAATCAAACAATCGATTCGAAATGATGATATGATTAAACCCTGTAATCACATGATCATTAAAGGCGGATTTAGAGGGGGCAGGGAGCTTCATATATGATAAATGTATAGACTTTTAAACATATTGCTCCAAACGTTGGTTTTCCATACGGCCTCACCCCCTTTCTCAAAATGCTGGAATCATGGATCATGAATAATAAGGGCAATGATCAAATGATTAACATGATCAAAGTGTGATATTACATTATCTAATCTATCATGAATATCAAGGGTAATAATCAAACCTTAAATTAGATAATTATGAATATTAAGGGCAATAATCAAAAATATGTAATCAGATAATCATGAATAGTAAAGGCAATAATCAATAGATTATCATGTTTAACTGTTCAATCATATGATTATGGTTATTATGGGTAATAATCAAATGATCGTCATGTTCGAAACTGTGTAATCAGATGATCATGAATATAAGGGCAATATTCAAACGATCATCATGTTCAAACTGTGTAATCAGATGATCATGAATATTCAGGGCAATAATCAAACGATCATCATGTTCAAACTATGTAATTAAATAAACATGAATATTAAGGGCAATAATCTAACGATCATCATAGTCAAACTGCGTAATCAGATAATCATGAATATTAATGGTCATAATCAAACAATCATCATGGCCTAACTGTTCAATCATATGATCATGATTATCAGTGGCAAAAATCAATCAATCATCATGGCCTAACTGTTTAATCATATGATCATGGTTATCAAGGGCAATAATCAGACGATCATCATGGCCTAACTGTGTAATCATATGGTTATGAACATTAAGGGCAATAATCAAACAGTCATCATGGCCTAAATTTTAAATCATATGATCATGATTATCAAGGGCAATATTCAGACGATCATCACGGCCTAACTATCATCATGGCCTAACTGTTTAATAATATGATCATGATTATCAAGGGCAATAATCAGACGATCATCACGGCCCAACTGAGTAATCATATGATTATGAATATTAATGGCAATAATCAAACAATCATCATGGCCTAAATTTTAAATCATATGATCATGATTATCAAGGGCAATATTCAGACGATCATCACGGCCTAACTATCATCATGGCCTAACTGTTTAATAATATGATCATGATTATCAAGGGCAATAATCAGACGATCATCACGGCCCAACTGAGTAATCATATGATTATGAATATTAATGGCAATAATCAAACAATCATCATGGCCTAACTGTTTAATCATATGATCATGATTATCAAGGGCAATATTTAGACGATCATCACGGCCTAACGGTGTAATCATATGATTATGAACATAAAGGGCAATATTTAAACGATCATCATGGTCAATCTGTGGAATAATATGATTATGATGATTATGAATATTAAGAGCAATAATCAATCGATCAACATGATTTGAATGTGTGATCAACTTATCATGAATAATAATTTCTTCTAACTATCAACATAATCACACCGTGTAATCATATAATCATGAATATCAGGGGACAACTCTTACTACCAACATGATCACACTACTCACTAGTTATAAGACTTATAGTGATTAACTTATCCAGGGAATTTTATAAATTCCAGGTTGGACCAGAGCCTGATATTTTGGCCTAAATGTTTAAAGCAAAGGTATGTTTATTTAATTGGTCGTAAACAGGCAGTTTTTGTTTTCGTGTTTACCCGTTTCTGCATCTTTAGGACTCACTTACCCGTCAGTTAACAGCAGTATAAAATAACGTGAAATCGAAACAGAAAGTACACTTCGGAAATTCTCTTTTTCGTAGAATAAATCCGAGTTACATTAAGAACCAATTGTATGATAGATAACAAAAATGAAAAATAAATAAGCCAATCAGAGCGTGGTCCATATCGTGGTTTTTAAATCCTAAAAACCACTACTATTATACCTCCTCCATCATGGACAAACAATTGAGTAATCTATGTTTAAAATTTTATGACGAAAATCTCTGTATTAAAGTCTGTGGATTTTCTGCAAAAAAATTTGCCTTTATTTGCCACAAAATCCCCATTTTCTATTAAATGCAATAAAACAATAAATACATTTGGTATATGTAAACAATGGCACATCTCTATTATTCATTATCTTTGCTGTTTTGATATTATTGCCCTTTGAAAATTTCGTAATACATATGACTAATGAAGGGGTCATAAACCTTAACATAAATCTGCAACCAAGACTGAATTAAACTTGGGTCTGGTATTTAAACCCGTGGCGGTGTTAAACCTCTATAATCGATATGGTGCCAGCAATTACTCAATACAGGATTTCATGTCATACTAAACACTTCCCGGATACCTTGATGGAATCGGATCAGAAATCAATTATTTTTCAAAGAAATCGTAAAAGTCACAGCGCTATAAAAATCGAATCAAAAGTAGATCAAATATTTAAAAAAAACATGAACGTATGATTTTTTTTAAACATGCCAATTTGTAATTAAATGTCATAACAGGAGATAATAAAATGTATAACACGAGAAAACACTTTACTTTCATTATTTTCTACATCCAATATTTTTAATCAAGTCAAAAGTAGGTAAACCAAAACAAAACCCATTCTGATCTCTAAATTCCATTATGTCTCCCTAGTTGACACGGAACTTATGGTCCGTGAATTCCTTCCATGTTGTCCTTGATTGATGGTTGGTTTTATAACAGGGAAGCTAATGTTGCAATGTTCTTATAGGTAAAGTTGAAGTCATAGCTTTGGAAATTTTACATTCGCCCTTTATGACTTTTTTCATTGTTAAAAGAAACTATCTGTGTCCTTGATAAGCACGAATACATTTTCCCGAATGTGACCTACCTGAATTAGACTTAACACCGGGTTTGTACTAAATGAACAACACGACGGGTGTCACATATGTGGAGCAGGATCTGCTTACCCTTCTGGAGCACCTGAGATCAGCCCAGTTTTTGGTGGAGTTCATGTTGCTCAGTCTAGATTTTTTATGTTGTGTTTTATGTACAGTTGTTTGTCTGTTTGTCTGTTAGTCTTTTTCTTTTTTTTTTGTTGCCATGGCGTTGTCTGTTTATTTTCGACTTGTGAGTTTGAATGTCTATTTGGTATCTTTCGCCTCTCTTTTACTTGTCTAAGTCACAAGCCGGCCCTCCTTTAATTAATCATGACATCATCGAATGCGACATCATCTGGTTTTTACTTGCCATTAGGAGCATGACGAGTGTCACTAGTAAGAACTGCTTTCCATTCTGATGCACCTGGATATACTCTTCTCAAAGTGTTTCGTAGTAACTGTTTTTTAGATTTTGTTGTGTTTAATTTAATATTTTCGTTTTCACAGACTGTGGTATTTATCACGGTTACGATATTACATGTCCTTTTTCCAGCCAAACTGGTTGTATTGGCTAGAGAATGTACATGTACCGGTGGTTTATAAATTTGGTAAAGTCTTACGGACATTTGCCAATTAGAAGTTGATTGCCTTCTAATGGGACTTTTGATATAAGACATCACCATCAAACATTTACAGGAGTGCATGACGAGTGTCACTGGTGGACCAGTTACTGTTACCAAACACTCCAAGGATGATTGTTGTTAAAGATTTGCCCATTCCTTAAAGCGGAGGGGATTTAAGATGAAGAACATTGACTAACGACGGACAGATGACAAAGAACAGAAACCAAGTGGTCAGAAAAAGCACATACTGGCTCTTTGGGCTCGTACTATAAAGCACAATTTTACAATACATTTTTTTTATGGCCATGTGAAGTCAAACAATCAACGTCAATTGTGATATAGCCATACGAGATTTTTTCTTCTAGGCGTTCTTTTGTGTCAAAAATACTTCAACTTGGCGAAAAAATTGCTTTGAAATAGTTTCATTTGGCGAAAATACTCTTTGGGATACAATATAGATTTCAGAAAATAAAATGGTATGTTGATAAAAGATGATCTTCCGCTGCCACATTTAACTAGTACATTGATAGCTTAAATCTTCAGAGATCAATTCGTAGTGATAGACCGTTGTTTTCCCTGAATTTCGACGTCAAAGTAACATCAAATAATATTGACACTGTCCAGACTACTTTAAAGTTGAAAATAACACGATTCAAAAACCATTGATTAAATTGGACAATATTTACACAATAGAGCGTCTTTTTAAATCTAGGTTTGTCAAAATTTCGATTGATTTTTATATATAATGTTGACGAATTTAATTTTTTCAATGATTAGAAAAAATAAACCCCGTGTTAATATGTAAAATTTTGACGTAAAATATTGATCAGGCAAATCCCTATGTACTGTTCGTGTATATTAAATTTACCACTGGAATACATTAGTCGCTCCTGAATAACTGTGTTCCTTTGGTATTTATTTAATCTCAAATGCTGGAAAACATAGCTTCATGAATGACATGTATACAGACAAATAAGCTCTTCTATATGAACTATATGTAGACCGATGTTTATATTTGAAAGCTTTAAAAGGAAATTCTTACAATAGTTTCTTAAAGGTTTCAGGAATATCTTTTTTAAAGACCGTTTCAAAACTTGTTTTTCCAGCTTAAAAAGTCTATTTTTGGTTATATAAATGCACAACTTACGCATTAAAACTGTCTTTTAAAACTGTGTGTTTTTAAACAGGAAATATATTTCTATATTATTTCTCGTGTGTAAAATACAACACTTAAAAACCGGAAATATTATGTGATTCTGATCTTCACATGGGAGATGGGCTCATATTCCCTGTCAGTGTTTTATATCTCCTAAGCCGTCAGGCGAGGTGGATATAGGATACTGACATGGACTATGAGTTCATATCCCCTGTGAAGCGCGAATAATAATTATTTTATACTGGAGTGTCCTGATTTTAACATTATTTACCATTCGTCTTTGTTCACAGGGGATATGGGTTCATATTCCATTCCTAGGTGATCAATCAAATTACAGGATTAACTGGGATGTTTCACTCCAGTATAATATATTTTTATGTTCTCGTGTGTAAAATACAACACTTAGACCACCACTTAGTCTTTTCTACTAAAGGTTATTTAAGCTAAACTAACTGGAATTAAAGTTATCTTCAATTTCATAAGTAAGAAACACAACACAACAAATAACATTTTAATAATAAATGTTCTACAACTTCCTTGTAACAATACTTTGAATTCTTTTTCATAACAAGACAACAAATAAATCAACAACAAAATAATGATCAACAATAGCAAAAATTGGAGAATCAGCAAACACTATCGCCACTTCTAGTCAGGGTAAATGTCCTGTTTAATAGTAAGTGAAACCTGGTGTAGAAGGTGCAATTTTCAATATCCGAAACATGTGTTAGTTAGAAAATTATTCCATCAATAGCCCAGTTATCACTTATTTGAGTCTGTATGAAATTGAATAGGTCTTAAGTTACACCAAACTCATTATACCAAAAGGGCATGCTGGCACATTTGAAACCTAACATCTATATCAGATGTCAACAGAAACAGTAAATATCTCTGTACCTTTTGAAGAATTCTATTCCAAATATAAACTTAAGCAACGTCTCACCACAAAGAACAGGTGAAATCGATTATAAAGTTGGACTGAAACAGTAGCAGGTATACAACTAATGCTGACTAATTTGTCATATATGATGCATTTACGACATAATCAAAACTATAGCTATCCTATATTTAGCCAGACAAACTCTGTAAACTGCCTTTTAATTGGGTTCGTATTGCTCCATATTTAGTTTTCTGTGCTGTATGTCCTGGTCTTTACTAGTGCAATTAACTTACAATTCAAACATCGTGAAATAAGCTTTTTTTAAAAGAGTATTCTTAAATTTTTTAAATTGCAGATGCCAAAAAAATGTCATCAACTTTTATAGAACTCAAATACATTAAATGGCATGGTTAAGTAGATTTCACAGAAATCGGTACCAATGCTCATCCTGACTACATATGTTAAGAAAAGAATTATTTTCGATATTATCTTAAGACCTAGTTATATTCTGTTCAGGCATTTAATGGTCGTTAAAAATGCTTTCCTAAACAAAAAATAGCACCAACCCATTGACACCTATGTTTAAGATTCTGCCTTTCAATACAAACATTTGAAGTTACCCCCATTCCTGTGATTCAGTAAAGCATTATAGTATTATTGCTTAAAATTCCTGTATTGAAATCAATTACTGCCAACCATATAAAAATTCCGCAACAGAAATAGCCATGTTCTCTGTTTATTACAGAAATAAATATTTTGCTCGATAACATGTTTGTGATTTGTTTAATCAAAAGACCTAACTATTAAATAAGTATTCTAATATGCTGTACCAGTTGCACTTATATTGTCATTGTCTGTTTCTACTTGAAATGCAGATTTAAAAAAATAAATAATCAGATTTATTTTGGCAATTGCAAAAGGTTTCATTCAACAACGAAATGAGAAAATATCCATGATTTATTTTTAAACAATAATGATAAATAACAGTTAATAAAAATTAATAAGACGTGCATTCTTATTGAGTATTCTGATGTTGGTATCGAACAATGATATCTTTTAAAACAATGTCTTCGATTTCAAAATCTTGGAACGTCATTAACATTGATTCTTCAATTAGACCAACACTAAATAAATAATTAACTACCATTATTGAATTGTACAAATATTTAATAACTGACGTAGCCCACATGTGCAAATACACTGACCACGAGTTGACTGTTACCCTGACAGATTCATGAAAACAATATCAACAATGTCATCGATTTAAAAAATTGAAACGCCATTAACGTATTTGTTTATCTTTTCCAAATGGAAAGATTAATGAAAGCCCTTTGTCATCCGATATTAACTAGTACATATTTGTATATCATCATCAAGTATATATCAACAATTAAGCATACATTTTTTCATTGATAGAGAGTCTCAGACGTCCAAAGTTTTAGCAAAACAGGAATTTACAGTAAAGGGTTATAACATTTAAAAAAACTTCCTTCAATCTTTGAACCTTGGTGGAGATATATGAGCTGACATAAAATTTGACGACTTTGTACTGATTTTGCAGCGTGCACATCTCGATTTCTATCGACCAGGTACACTCAGAGCCTAAAGGGGATCCAAGATATATAGAAGCGCAGGGAAATGTATAAATGAAAGAAACAATAAACGAAAAACCTAAACAAAACTTAACTTCAATCAGCTTCATTTGAACTCTGTTGGCTATTTGTCTCATTGCCAATCATACCACATCTTCTTATTTTTTTTATTAAACTAGTTTTGCAAGGGAGATTTACAACCGTAGCTTTTATAATATACAAATTATTTACCAATAGAGAATTTATTATAAAGATCATAATAAATCATGCCAACGCTTAAACAATAACTACTGTGTGGAGGCTACCATCGGGAATTTACAGTCTATCAGTAGTAACCTCGATCAAATTAAAGCTGTACTTATCTTTTCCAATTGGTTATGCTTGTTCAAACATTGAAATTCAACAATTTCTTGAATATGCCTTGTTTGCACACATTTGAACATTACCCAAAAAGAACAGGAAATAAAATAACACGATAAATCACTATATTAGAACAATTCATGTCGACAATTAAACGTTTATGGTTATTATTTTTAGGTACGTTTTGGTAATATAGCTCTTCAACTGTTTTGGCTCTCGTAGATCCTTGGCTTTCAACTATTCGATTTTGCGTGTTTCTGAAGAAGGTAAATCCAGAAAAGCGCTTCGGACGAAGGAAATTATAAAGTGTTTTTATAATTTTTTAGGAGAACCAAATTATCATTTCATATCTTTCATTAAACTCCAAACTTTCAGACTGTAATCTTGACGAAAAGAACTGCGAACACAGCAAATGTTGCATGTTTCAATTTGATTTTCTCTTGTTCAATACCACTGCTGCTTGAATGTTAGTAATCGTGGGTATCAAATTTGCTTGATTTAAATTTATACATGTTGATAATTTTTATGTTGATAACAAAAATAATACCTCGTGATGGGAGGAATTATTATTCTTTATAGGTCCATATATATAAGATTATAAAAAATATGTTTGAGGAGCTAACAAATTTTCATCTATTCGAGTTAACTTCCAATATAACTGACTTTGATTAACGGAAATTTTCGTTACTGGAATGCACAAATGTTGTTTTTCAATGAGTTTTAACCACCTTATTGTAATCATTTTCAGCAGAACATAAAAAGTAAAAGCAGTAAATTCCACATAAAGAAAATTACAAAATCGATGAGAGATGGAAAGGAATGGCACTCACAGAGAGAAAAGGGCAGTCTACCTGCATGAGGCGTGACCAAAAAGATTCTCGCTCTAGCCTCATACAAATAATCTGCTATCGATATATAATATCAATCATTTGTCATGACCAAAAACATGTGATCAATATCATTCAGTCAATAATAAATAAACCCGTTCTAATAAATATGAGAATTGATATGTAATCAATTTGTCGTTGTATAATAATTAACAAAATGTGATTGGCATTACATTTGATGTGGCTTTTGTGGAATAAACCTTAAACATATGAAATATAAAAACAAATATGCAAATATAGATCCTAAGATTGCTAATACAGATTCCAGAACAGAGCCGCCATCCAAGGCATACAGTACAATAGCCTGATCACCATTTTCTATGCAAGGTACTGTAGCGTTAACACTACATTCAAAAGTTAGTTTTGGGATTTCAGCATACACTAAACCTTGAAAGCCCCATTTTAAGTAGGAAATGTTTGACACCCATTGTAAACCTGAAAAAGAAATTCTATGAATTAGTTTGGTTATTTGGAATTAGAATCAAGATGGGAGACTTTTGATCATTTTTTTAAATGTGTAATCAACATTTAAGAGAATATCCGTAGTGTTTTGACTGACACATTTATTAGTAGTTCATATAAAAATCATACAATTTTGAACCGTGACATACCTCATGAAAGGCTACACATGTTTACTTTTGGCAATCAGTTGTAATACGGGTGTATAGATGAATGGAATGAATAATATTTACCAGGACAGATAGCGGTAATTGGCACGCATTTGACAATATATTTTATAGGATTAATTTTGTTGAAGCTATCTATCTAGCTATATCTAGTTTGCATAAGTTTGTTAAATTATATATAATTTCAACGTACTTTTATATCCTAAATAAAATTCAAAAAATATGAATTGTAGGCTTTCATTATCACTGAACTAGTATACATATTTGTTTAGGGGCCAGCTGAAGGACGCATCCGGGTGCGGGAGTTTCTCGCTGCATTGAAGACCCATTGGTGGCCTTCGGCTATTGTCTGCTCTGTGATCGGGTTGTTGTCTCTTTGACACATTCCCCATTTCCATTCTCAATTTTATTTCCACACACGAATCTTAAATGGACTGGTACTTAATACATTTCATCTATTAACAATTAATTTGTTCACGTGTGATAAGTACGGATACGTGTCTGTTAAAACTACAGTTCTCTCGAAACAAACCCGCGGATTACTCGTGAGTGACATAATGTTGGTCGGGTTTCTTTTCCATTTAACTCCCCTCTGTTTTTTTTTGTTTCGTTTTGGTCATTCGTTTGTGTGTTTATTCTATTGTCAAGATCACATTTTTCTTGTGTACTGTTTTGTTCACTGCTTTTTATTTTTTTTTTGTTTTTCTGTGTATGCTTTTTATGCACCCGGTCTCGGTTCATGCGTTTCCTCCAGTTTTTGGTTTTTTTAACTTTGTTTTTATTCTTAATCGATTCATGAGATTTGAACATCAGTAAGCTACTGTTGCCTTCATTTGCGTTCTTTTTTATACTATTTAGTATCTTTGATGAGTTTTTTTGTGTCCGCTGTTCAATTCAATACCGTGTACCGTTTGTATTGTTCTGCAAGGCGCTTGGCTTGTTTGTTTTAGTCCCTTTCGGATTCTCTTTATTCCGTACTGGTTGAACTGTTTATGACCTTTTCGGTGTTGATATTCTACCAGGGACCCTTGGGCTTTTGATATCCGGTTTAGATACTTCTGCCCTTTTTATTGTTCTACCGTAGACCACTTAAGTTTGTTCTTTTTTCTTTAGAAAAGTTATCAGTTTTTTGTTGTTTCGAGTAGATTTTTTTTCATATCTTACTGTTTTGTTTTTGCACTTTTCTATTTTCATTGTCAACGATATTCAAATATATTTTGCCTTTAACATATATTCTCTTTAAAATACACTTTAAGACACGTGCACCGTACAAAAAAATATAATTCAACGTTTTTGAACTGGCATGTCTGAATAGTCTGTACATTGAACACACATATATATAACATTGATATAAGTGCTTTTATAGTTCAAGCATTATCTATAAAATCTATACAAAATGTTAAGTAAATACGTCTTGCTTTTGTGCGATAAATATGGGTTCTATTGAGGACTACTAAACCCGACTGAGATTGATTTAGATGGCCGTTGTCGGATTTTTCTGGTTTAAAAACGATGATTCAAGTATATATGCAAACACAAATTAAAAATAATCCTTAGAATTATATAATTCCGAAGACTATTAGTCTATTTCCAATTTTAACATACTGACCTGAAAATATATTATCCAGGTTGATGAAAAATCCCGCCGACATTATAAACATTGAAAAGAAAGTCTGTGCAAAAAAGCACGAAAGTTGAAAGTTAGGCAATATTGCCGATGACAGCATAGCAAGTGATCTGCTACAGTATATCATCAGGTATAATAACCCGAACACTTGAAAGAACACTGAAACGTCATTAGTAAGTCCAGCTAAGAAATACGCTGGTATGACATAAACTATGACGTAGAACGTATGTAATGGCAGCTCACTACAAATCTAAAAGAAGTATGAAAAAAGTATTAAAACAATGCTTAATGCAAATATATTTCACAAGACATCTTTAAGAACATACTGAATCATGTGCGTGTATTTGTATTGTGCAGATTGTACATCGCAGTCTTCATTAGATTTCGCCAATAAAAGGTACACAATTTGTAATTAGAACATCTCTTTTCGTGGGGAAAATTATTGTATCTCGTATTTTTTTAATTTTGAGATGGGCTGGTGTAACCCAATATTAACAGCTTGCTATTTATAATTTTATGGATTATTGCTTGTCTGTTTGAAGTGTTTTTCGTTCCTATATATTTCAAGTATCAAGATTAAGACTTCGTTTCTGAACAATTTTTTGTAGTAAAAACAAAAATCGTTGTCTGGTATAATTTGCAATGGATCTAAGCTCGGTTAACTTCTAATAGTCTACAGTTAGATAACAAACTTCTAAAACATTTATCGTTTAAAACAACACAAATGGGTAATTCAGAAATAACAAATAGAAAGAATGAATAACAACTTATACATGATAGTTTCCCTTTCACAATTTACACCATACTTAGGTACACTGAGTTGAAAAATCTTCTTTTAGTATATCTTGGACTTTTTCATCGTCCAACAATAAAAATGAGTCCACATTTCTTTTAAAGAAATATAAACATTTGCAATCCAAAGTAAGATAGGAATTAATTCTGAAAAAATGAAATCTTTATGCTTGTACGCATTGGTAGGATTAGTTTTGGCTTTCCAACGAACTTGATTTGAGCTAAACTGACTAGTCGACGACTCTTATATAAACAAAACGCGCTTCAGACGTACTAAAAGAGGCACGAAAGATACCAGAGGGACAGTCAAACTCATAGATCGAAAACAAACTGACAACGCCATGGCCAAAAATAAAAAGACAAACAGACAAATAATAGTACAGATGACACAACATAGAAAACTAAAGACTAAGCAACACGAACCCCACCAAAAACTGGGGGTGATCTCAGGTGCTCCGGAAGGGTAAGCAGATCCTTAAATTATAAACCTGGTATCTTTGATGAAATAAATTTGGAATCAATATAAACATTTCCTACCTTAGCAAAGTAGTATGGACCTATAGCATACAGATGATCTTCAAGCTCACAGTACAAATAGTTTCTTTCATTGTGATCTAAAATTAAAAAAAACATATGTAGTTTTGGAAGTCTTTTAGATATCAACTAACATAAAAGTGTACCATTATTACTTCAGCAATTGGTTGTAGTTGCAATAGATCAGTAGAACAACAGAAAATGTTGGGTAAAACCTGACGCCAGTAATTCATGATACGCCCTAGAAAGAAGCATGTTATAACGTAAACAAATAAAGTAAAACAATAAAATAACGAATATCGTTCATGTTCATTCCAAAATCATGTCATTGATGCGTATCATTTTGTGTGTCGTAGATTAATTTCAATTAACTCCAGGTTTATATAATCGGTTACTCAAGGTTTATAAAATCGGTATCACATGTTTATATCAATATCAACATTTGAAAGTTTGAATCTTATTTTTGCTCTTTATTGATTTTGTCCAAAATAGTATAGTTATTATGTAACTTGAATTAAGAATGTATACGGGGGCATTATGCATCTACCAGTTACAGCTTTTCTATAAAAACATGCAAAGCAAACCTTTGATCAACTTGCTTGCTATGTTTGTTTGGATGTTTGTAAACAACAGGTAGGTAGTCTATTTCAGTCTGTTTACTATATACTGGAATTTGATTGGACAATAAACGTTAACTTCATTTGAATGTTAAGTTTCACATTGTATGTCAATTTTTATTGTCCAATCAAATACCAGTATATATTAAACAGACTGAAACTCCGCCTACCCTTTTGTTTACAAACATCCAAGCAAACATAGCAAGCAAGTCGATCAAAGGTTTGCTTTGCATGCTTTTATAGAAAAGCTGTAATTGTATTTTTTACGCAGCAATGTGTTCATATTTATTATCTGGAAACATTTATCTAAATTTGAACTGTCCAAATTTGGAATAAATTAGATGTTGCACAAATCACCTCCACATTAAATTAACATTCTAAACTTACATTGGGCTATAACGTCAAGTATGACCATATATGGGTATAATGCCGCTAGGATGTACATTAACCCAAACCAATCACGTATATTACTCTGACCATATGCCAATTTATAATAAACCAAACCAACAACAAAAGACATGGCAAACGCCTGGATAAACTGTGCCGACAGGTTAAGGTAATCTTCTAATATATTGCGTGTACATCGCCTGTCAGAAAAGAAACAGAAACAAAATGAAAATGCGAAGTAATATTTGTAAATCAAAAATGGAGAAATTTCTAATCGACTTTGAAAGCTAAACGCAGTTTAAAAGGTAGACTGAAAGTGGTAATACAATAGTTTTCTTATATTTACAAACTGGATTATATGATTTAAGTAATTTAACTTATCCCACAATGCAACGGTTACAGGATGTTCCCATTTATACTTATACAATAACAAGTATTTGTTTTAAAAGTTAAAAACATGATAACATTCACATGTACATTTCTAAGTCAAATGGGCATACCTGAACAACACGGAAAACTGTCTAAAATACCCTGGAGATTGACTGAACTTATTAATCATGTTCAACATATCCATCATTGGAACCTCTTCTTCTGTGTGAACTGATAAATCCTGTTCTGACACAATGGACCTCTTCTGTGTGTAACTCTGCAACAGATTTTCCATTGTTTGTCGACTGGACTTTTCTGTTTCTTCTGATGATGTATCCAAGGTAACCAAATCAACTGGAAGTAAAAATTCATAGCATACACACTTTTGAAAGTCTTAAAGGAAACTGAAATTTACTAAACTTTAAACGCAACAATTACTATGTTTTAGCTTAGAGTAGATACATACAAAAGAAGACGGTTAAGTTGTCATAAAAGGTATCAACAATGTGTGAAAAAAGTAAAACAACAAAATTACCGAACTCCAAAGAAAATTCAAAACGGAAAGTCCCTTAACAATTGGCAAAATCAAAAGCTCTAACACATCACACGAATGGAAAACAACTGTCATATTCCTGACTTGGTACAGGCATTTCCTTATGTAGAAAATGGTGGATTAAACCTGGTTTTAAAGATAGCTAAACCTATCACTTGACAGTCGCTTAAAATTCCATAATATTGACAACAATGTGTGAACAAAACAATCAGACAAAATAGGGGTACAGCAGTCAACATTGTGTCATAATCTTAATCACTATAAAAATGATTTTTAAAAAGGTAGCAAATTAAAGTAGAAATATGTGAGCAGAGCTCTTCTATTCGCATCCGACCTAATTTATATAACGATTGCCATGTTAATGCGAATATATATGTTCAAACTCTTTTAGGTCATTTTTTAGAAACAACAAACAAAAGAACTATGTCAATTGGACCTACTTTGATACTATAACTGCCCTTGAATTTTTACTAGATAACATTTTTGTTCGCTATGAAGATTCCGTATATCGTCAGTTCATCGGAATTCCCATGAGGACTAACTGTGCACCACTTATTGCGGACCTGTTTCTGTATTGTTATGAGTTACAATTTATGACTAAAATCAGAAAAGACCCATCGAAACAACATCTGATTCAAAAAATTTAATAACACTTCGGTTTTATAATGTATATCTATTATATAGTCATTTTATAAAATTTACTGCTTGCAAAATTACAAATTATTCTAAATAATAAGGATGTTCTTGTCCCAGCCCAGACAGAAAACCCTGGCCGTGTTAGGCGCAACTTTTTGGAAGTTTTGGTCCTCGGTGCTCTTCGGCTTTGTACTTGTTTTGGCTTTCAAGCTTTTTTCATCTGAGCATCACTGGATGGTCTTGTGTGGACGAGACGCACGTCTGGCGTATTGAATTTTAAGCCTAGTACCTTTTGTTAGCTATTATTCGTGTGTTTCTTTGTCCTATATGTTCTCCCATTTACTTGTATTGTTGTCCTGTCATGTGATGTTGTCGTTTTGGTGTTGTGTTTGACGTTGCCATTAAAGCGGGAGGTTTGGCATGCCACAAAACCAGGTTCAACCCACCATTTTTTTCTTAAAATGTCCTGTACTAAGTCAGGAAAATTGCCATTGTTATATTATAGTTCGTTTCTGTGTGTGTTACATTTTTAATGTTGTGTTTTTGTTGTGTCGTTGTTCTCCTCTTATATTTGATGCGTTTCCCTCAGTTTTAGATTGTAACCCGGATTTGTTTTTATCTCTATCGATTTATGAGTTTCGAACAGCGGTATACTACTGTTGCCTTTATTTAGATATTTAGATGATATATTGGCTCTCAATAATGATGACTTCAGTATGTACACTAAAGAGATTTATCCTGCCGAACTGACTTTAAATAAAGCTAATACTAACACTGAACACTGCCCTTTCCTGGATCTCGATATCTTTATCTTTAACGGGAAGCTTAATACCAAAATTCATGATAAAAGAGATGATTTTTCATTTCCTATTGTTAATTGCCCATTTTAGATGGTGACGTTCCCTTGTCGCCATCTTATGGTGTTTATATATCTCAACTTGTTCGATTCGCTCGTGTATGTAACAACGTATTTGATTTCAACGAAAGAAATCTCTGTATTACTGAAAAATTATTACACCAGGGTTTTCGATATCACAAACTAGTAAAAAAATTTGCTAAGTTTTATCATCGGTACAAGGACATCATTCGTAAATATAAATCAACATGCAGACATCTTATACGTTCAGGTATTTCACATCCAATATTTTATGATAATATTCTTTACAAAGCACAAAAATGTCGGCATTCACCTCAAAAGCTAACCAAACCTTTAAACAGACTTATTCGGAAAGGATATAGTTACGATACTGTTGTCAAGTCATTAAGGATTGCATATTTTGGTATTAATATTGATTCACTCATAGGGTCTTTGCATCGGAAATAAACACATTTATTCTAAAACCAGTTGTTGGCATGATACGGGTTATGTTCTTCTCATATATTTTATGATGGTATGATACTAAACTCCTAACGGGATGGATTGTACTTGATTTTTATATGATGAAGACATAATATTTCAATCAGTTTAATTGAGGTCTGGAGCTGGCAGGTCAGTAACTGCTAGTAGTCCTTTGTTCATTTATGTATCATTGTCATTTTGCTTAGTTTCTTTTGTTACCTATTCTGACATCGGACTCGGACTTCTTTTAAACTGAGTTTTACTGTGCGTATTGCTATGTGTTTCTTTATTCTACATTGGCTAGAGGTATAGGGGGAGGGTTGAGATCTCTCAAAACATGTTAAACCCCGCCGCATTTTTGCGCCTGTCCCAAGTCAGGAGCCTCTGGCTTTTGTTAGACTTGTATGTTTTTTAATTTTAGTTCATTTATATGTTTTGAAGTTTAGTGTGACGTCTATTTTCACTGAACTAGTACACAATTTTATTAAGGGACTAGCTGAGGACCACCTCCTGGTGCGGGATTTTCTCGGTGCGTTGAAGACCCATTGGTGGCCTTCGGCTGTTGTCTGCTCTTTGGTCGGGTTGTCTCTTTGACATATTCCCCATTTCCATTCTCAATTTTATTTAACTGCGTAAATCCTTGAATAAGTATTGACAAAAATACCAAACGCCAAAGTAAATTTAAGAAAGGGGGAAGTTCATAAAACCTGACAAAACCAAACGCTCGACTTTACATAATTTTGATCGAAACATAGCCTAGGAAATGAGCTATCGCATTATTCAAGAAAATGTCTATGGAAGTATCATTGACATAATGTAACTGATTTATATCACTTTAAACGACATGTTTTGCTAGTGACAACCCAACACTTAAAAACTGAAAATTGCAGGACAGTATTATTAAAATCAGCCTCTAGAAGAAGTAACAATGTTATGTCGGACAAACGGACAAACTGACAAACAAGCGTACAGATGGAGAATGACCAGTGTATATTGCCACTTAGCAAGCCAAGATTTTCATATTTTAATATTCGAAATGTGAAATTTAGGCAACAATAGTTGGTTACCGATGTTCAAACACACACATCACAATAATGACGAGAGCAGCTGATAACAATCAAATGTAGACGTAAAAAAGTATTGAAAGGTAAAGTTTGGGAGGCACGAACTCTTATGAAAAAAGCCGTACAACAGAGAGGGGGAAAACACAATAACCCATTACCAAATCATATCATCTGACGCGTTTAGTCTGAAACATAATACATAACAAACAATACATATCACTTTTGCTCTGTGTAGGTCTCCTTCATTTCATACATTAAAACATTTACACGAAACTAGTGTCGTTGTTTAAATGAACAAGATTATGGTATCGTGACATAAGAAGAGAAAATTCTAATTGATTAAATGAGAAATACGATGAATTATGGCATTTAAGCTTTGATAATATTATATTAATCCTTTCTTTTCATGATGAGATCGAATTTGAGAATACGGGACACATTGTTGTTATCAAAACATTAATAAATCACGTAAATTTCAAAATTAACGAGTTTCACAAGAGCTTATATAAATTAAAGATTAGAGGAGGAACTTATAATTCATTGATTTAAAACCTTCTTTGTTTCCTACCGGAATGAATTGTAGGAAACAAATTAGTTTGAATAAACATTTTACCATAACAATTTTGAATGTTATCCCGGCATAAGATATGTCAGTAAGGAATACGTAATAGAGCTTACAGTTGTTTTTCATTCGTTTGATGTGTTTGAGCTTTTGATTTTGCCATTTTATAAAGGACTTTCCGTGTTGAATTTTCCTTGTATGTCGGTATTTTTGTTATTTTACTTTTTACTTAATCAATGCCCTCCATATTAATCACCAAGGTGCAGTAAAAAAAGAGAAACAGACAAAACATGAAAAAAGCTGGCACTACTTCCCGATTTGCATGTTTATTGAGAGAAAACGTTCTACTTCATAGGCTTAAAATACTAATATGCTTGGAGGGACAAATTCTTACGTACTTTAATTGTAAACTTTTCACCTGTGTAAATGTTAGTTAGTTAGTTGGAAACCATCCCGAAACTTTTAACTTTCTACAAAAATCATTTTAGTATCTTTGATCTTGACCTTTGCCTTGTTGACCCCGAAATCAAAGAAAATCTTACACTTTGCTTTATCTTTCATCGTTTTTAGGTTTCTTTTTTAGACAAAATGATTGACTGACGAAAGCTTTTAATATACACCTCCGAATTTTTTCGGTGAGCAGAATTGCAAAATGTTAAATATTATAATCACTTAATTTTGTACCAATTCATGTATAAAACCAGCTTATATGAACAAGTAATTCAGGGACGTAATAATATTAATTATAGAACAAGTCAATCCCCAAACAAGATATTAATAAACAAAATAATGGAAATAAATGTAAATAAGTGTTAATTTTAACATAATACCCACAATAATACTCAAACTAGTTTAAAAGATCGATTGGCATAGGCGTATGAAACAATGAAATTGATCATTTGTCTTTTTATAACAACTAGATAGTAGAAAAGGAATGCAAATATTTAATGTCACCGTATTAAAACATATTTTTTTGTGGTTGTCGTGGGAATTTCTGAATAACCGTAAGAACGTTGTAAAATCGACATATGTTATTTTTCTTTCATACACTGAGTCGTAACCACTACTGTTTGGTTCTTTTCTACGTTGACAACATGAACAAAGTAGTCCATGGCAGCTACTACGATTTCTTATATGCATCCTTCTATTGGAGAAGGTATATATTAGGGTCAGTATTGCATGCCCTAACATTTAATATTTTCAAAATATCTTTAAATTTTCTTTATGTGTGTGTTCATTGAAAGATGTTATCAATTTCACCATTGTTAGTGCTTCAGCACTTGCAATGATCTGTATTAAACGTATTGGGAAAATTTCAAGGAAGAATATAATAAAAGTGAAAATACTATAAGTCGAGGAAAGACCAACAAAACAACGATCAAAAGGAAAAAAGGCTATAATAGAAGAACAAAGGATATGGGGTATCCATCCATGACACAAAATCAGTAAATGCACAACAAAAAAACATACAAAAAGCAAAGGAACATTGCTTTTATTGCTGTTCTTCATCTCAAAGTCACAGCGAGACCTCAACATGGAGCAAAAAACTCTCATCTCACTGCAAACAAGACAAAACAAAAACCTACAAAACACTTAACAGATAGCTAAGGAATGTGCGACATAGATCCCACTCAAAAATTACGCAGGAACCTTTGGGCTTCGAAATGGTAGTGACACCATTGTGTTCCTCGTGGAAAAATCCCAAGTTGAAAATATGGGAATGATTACAAAAACTAGGGTTCCATCTATCTCAGGTAAAGTAGACCAAGACAGTTGGGCGTAGTCGTTTTGACAGTTGTTTTTGATAAATAAATCCCCGTGAAACTTTCTATTTATTTGACTGTACTAACTGGAATTATAAAAAAGTTTAACAGTTCTCCTCAACTGGTTAATTTTCTTCTTAGAATTTAAAGACTTTTTTAACCAAACCTTCTCATGTCAGTTAACGTCAATTAAGGCATGATTTCCCCCTGATCAATGTTGCTTTCAACGCCGTAAAGGTATCTTTAATAACTGTTGATAAGAGTCAAATCCATTGGTAGTTGTTAGAAACACTGCAAACTCAGTGTATGAGTTTAAACTATAAGAATATTTCGAACGCAGTAAATTCGGCAATTCAACTATAATGAGGATGAATACGTTGTCATGATGAAATTGGTCATTCCCGTGAAGATAATTTCTAATTTATTTTTTAGTTTTTTGCAGTTATGATCTTTGTGTTAGATTGATTGATTGATCGATTTTTGGTGTTTAACGCCACTTTCAGCACCACTTGCTATATCGTGACTGCCAGTTTGTATTGGTAGATGAAGCCGGAGACCACGGAAAAAACCTCCGACATTCGACCTTTGTTTTAGATAAACAGCTACTGTTTTTGAAAGTAAAAGTCACTAGCCTATTGATATGTAATTATTACGGATATTTGCAGCAAATTTAGGACATATAATTTGTGTAGTATAGAGTCATTAATAATTTACAGACTTTAAACTCTCGATGGTAGTTTCATTATAGACATAATGTCAATACCAATATATCTTATTAAGTATTAATGAATATATCTTGGAACGTCTTTAGGGCGATCACTATTTATTATACGGAGCTGTATTCATTAATTTAGCACGTTATAACCTTTAAAATCGATAGTACAATCTAATTAGTCAAACATGTGACTTATTACAGACTGTACATAGATTGGACATAATCTAATTTCTGGTAAATCAGATGTCTATGGTTTGTATAACATAAAGGTCACTTTGTAACACACCAAAGATTGTTGCTACAATGAGGTCAGCAAGGCAAAACTAAACTAGAAAAACTAAAAGCAGTGCTTAAAAACACATAAAAAAATCAAAGGCATACAATGCCACAAGATTGAAAAAAATCTATAACACATCAAACAATGTTATTTTCGGTTTTGAGAAGACATCTATACCATCTTATTAAAATGTTGTAAAGAACGTTCTAACAGAACAGGTTATTTTTCAGGAGAAATGAATTTGACATTTGGATTGTAATACTTCTGTTGACCAATCACCACTACAACTGAGGGAAAAACTAAATCGGAGTTCAGGTGGTTTTTTTTGAGGGGTGGGTGGGGGGGTGGAATTCGTCATGCACAGTCTTAAGAGTGTCTCGGTGGCCGAGTGGTCTAAGTAGTTCATCTACTGTATCACCAGCCTGTCAACACTGAGGTTTTGAGTTCAAACCCCACACGTGACAGGTGCGTTCGTTTTAATCTTTATTGACTATGAATGGCAGTTTTCTGTCGAAAGTCGGTGGATCTCTAAGGACATTCCGGTTTCCTCCGGCAATAAAACTGAACGCCTCAATATAGCCAATAGTGCTGAAAGTGGCGTAAAAAATCCAACAATCAATCAATCAAAATCATAAGTTTACCGTGTCGTGTTTTGTAGACTGTTGTTTGTTCTTTTATTTCCTTGGCAATGTTTTTTTTATCGTTCTACAACATTTGATTTTATGATGCCTTCAGGTATATTCTCTTCCTTTCATTAGTTTTCTCTTTTGTTCATATTAACTGTTTATAGACAATCAACATGACAAAACATTACCAGTGATCATATATGACATATGTGTAGGTTTCGTAATTATTTACTACGCTAAAACATCTACAGAAAACAAAACAGCATTGCTTTTATTGAATATTACTTACTGTAATAATCTCCAGGGTTTGTTAAATGAGGACAAGGATACCCAAGATTTGTAAAATAATCAACCATTTTTCCAGATTCGCCATTATAAACAACATTTCCTTTTGTCATAATCATCACTCGATCAAACAGCTCAAATATGTCAGACCTAAAAATAGTGAAAATGATATTTATACTTTTAATACTTTTAATCATTTTATCAATGTCATCTATAAATCAGTATATATATATATATATGTGTGTGTGTGTGTGTGTGTGTGTGTTAAGTGTTACTGCCGATGAAAAAACTTTCATCAAACTTCTAACGGGGGAATCTGTGGCCGAGTGGTGTAGTTGGTCCATCTACTGTATCGCTAGCCTGGCAAACTGGTGTTGTCTGTTCGAACCCCGCACGTTGCAGGTGAGTTCCATTCCGATTTTAATTTACTAGAATTTTTCCTGCCGAAGGTCGGTAGTTCTCTCCGGGCTCTCCGGCTTCCTCCACAAATAATAATTCCCTTGTTTCTCTCATTCAACAAATTTCTTATCTGCTCTTTTCTGTTTGACGATTCAATTACCCTTATATCTTTGGTATATATCTAACTTCTTCAATTAGTATACAATACGCGTTATTTTAAAATGCGAGACACAATAATACTAACCTTGGTTGATGTATAGACACAATGACTGTTCTGTTATTTCTTGACATCTTTGATAAAGTTTCGACCAGATGATGAGCTGTAAAGGCATCCAAACCTGAAGTTGGTTCATCGAGAAAAATTATGCCTACAAACAAGAACATACTAAATATTTTTGATAGGAAAAATGATAAGATAACAGTGGACATTGAAATCATTACTTGAAAGACAAGCAGTACAATTGCTAAAAGTGAAAAAAAGACGAAAAGACAAAAAATAGTCTACTAAAAATGCACAGACTTAAAGGTTGAGCACACATATGCTCTGAAAGGCTGTGTTGTTTCGTGTCCCACTTGTGGTACCCGTCCAGATGCTTTTGATAAAATCCATTGGAAAGTCACGGTGTTAAACATCATTCAACTGCAGGTTGGTAGAAGTCTCTAAAATAAACCGACTTATAGACATCTGCTTGCCAATTCTTTAACCATAACACATTAAGGAATGGAAAAAAATGACATTATGTGTGGCTGAATTATCATAATGTAAATGTCAGAGGAGACGATATTTTTTACAATAATGGTGTGCTTAGCTCTTAACGTTTCTACGTATTTATACAAACCTGGTTTTCAAATGTTTAGGTTTGAACGCTCCTGATGAATGTTAATCCAGAAAAGGCGTTTCGAACGCACTAAATTGTTATTCTCAATTAATAAGGATTCAGATTAATTTAGTGAAAAGTGGTTTGTAGTCTATTAGAAACTAATACAAGAGTTAACTGTGCCATAAAAAAATAAATAAAATGCTTGCAGATTCAACTTCGTAGTTTATTTGGCCTTAGCTTGTCTACCTTTTTTATTCGAGCGTCGCTGATTAGTCTTTTGTAGACGAAAACAATGTAAGCCTGGTATCTATGATGAGCTTATTGGTAGCTAGTATATGGGGAAGACTTACTTGGATCAAGCAATAACTGTATTCCAATACTGACACGACGTCTCTCACCACCAGACACACCACGGCTCTCAGCATTTCCAACTTTTGAATTTGCTACATGTCTTAATCCGAGTTCAGCTATCACACTGTCTACCTAATGATAATATAGATTTAATAGATCATACAGCAGTGTAAGAGAATACTAGTAGTAAACATATACAAATAAGGAGATATTGTACAATTTCAAAATAGACGATTATCCACCAGAAAATTTACTTAAAGAACGAGGTCACTGACTGTGTATCATCACCACCGGATATAGGTACCCATGACCTGGTTCTCTGTCCATTGTCTAAGAAAACTTTATTACTGTACATATACTAACATATACAGTGGAGATCACTTCTAACCTCTCATCAAATCTTTCAGAATCTGTCAGGAGAACTGTTCTAGGACAGTATGTAGAACTGTCATCCTGATACCTTTTAGACAGTTCTAGCTAGAACAGTTCTAACCTAGAACTGATTTGGTCAGTTCTACCTAGAACTGATTTAGACAGTTCTACCTAGAATTGATTCTGACAGTTCTACCCTAGAACAGATTTAGACAGTTCTACCTAGAACTGACCAAATTTTTGGTCAGTTCTACGACTAGAACAGTTCTACGGCTAGAACAGTTCTACGACTAGAACAGTTCTACGATTAGAACTGATTTGTTCAGTTCTACGGCTAGAATTGATTTAGTCAGTTCTATCCAAAGAACAGTTTTAAGAACTCTTTGTCTTAAATATAAATAAGTCAAAAGAATATAATATATATTCAATAATTGCAGTGACGTCATTTAGAACTGTTCTACAATCCTGACAGGTTTGGTCAGTTCTACGGCTAGAACAGTTTTAGACAGTTCTGCTGACAGTTCTACGGTTAGAACTGATTTGGTCAGTTCTTCTGACAGTTCTACGGTTAGAACTGATTTGGTCAGTTCTGCTGACAGTTCTACGACTAGAACTGATTTGGACAGTTCTACCTAGAACAGTTTTAGACAGTTCTACCCTAGAACTGATCCTGACAGTTCTACCTAGAACTGATTTGGTCAGTTCTACCTAGAACTGATTTGGTCAGTTCTACCTAGAACTGATTCTGACAGTTCTACTTAGAACAGTTCTAGGGTAGAACTGTTCTAGGACAGTTTAGAACAGTTCTATGACAGATTATTCTGACAGTTCTAATGAGAGGTTAGAAGTGATCTCCACTGTAGGTACCCAGGTAGCTAGCTATACACTGGTATTTGTATAGTGATGTTGTTTTTCTTAGACAATGAACAGAGAACAAGGCCAAAGGTACCTATATCCGGTGGTGATGATACAAAGTGGAGGTTGTAAACAACTACATGAAACGAAACGAATAGTGTTATTTTATACATATGGTATGTGAAGTGGTCACATCAAATGCTTATTTTTCAATAACTACCATTGATAGTAGTATAAAAGTATTAACAAAAATACCAAACTACAAGGTAATTTCAAAAAGGGGGAGGTCCATAAAAACTGACATAATCAAACGTCAGACTATATCAACCAACGTAAATAATTTTCAATTAAAGTTAAAGAATTTGTTTAGATATGTTAAATGGACGAGAAACAAGTTTAAAAAAACCTTGCATATCGTTTTTTTACATTTCAATTTGAATTATTAACCTGTTCTCTACAACAAATACACAATATAGTGTGTACATCATAAACACTGACATCAGTGTACACAAATCGAAATACAATAGCCTTACCCTGTCCTCTATTTTTTTACTCGTAAAAGTTGTTGGCAGCTTTAATTCTGCAACAAACATAAGTGTTTCCTTTATCGTCAAATGAGGTAATAGTCTATCGTCCTGTTTAACGTATGCTGAGAACGATCGAATCATGGAATTGTTCTGTTGAACACCGTTCAAAAAGACATCCCCAAGTATCTCGCCAACTGTTATGCGTCCTGCCAAAACATCTAATAAACTGGTCTTACCACTTCCTGAAAAGGGATTGAAAAAAAATTAATGAAACAAAACAAAACAAAACTAAAATTGTCTTCCATTTGGTAATATTACTAGTATCAGATAAATTGGACTTAGTTCAGTTCTCGAGACGAACATATATTTTGACTCATTATCTGACCAGTAAGTGGGTCAAATTCAAATTTTGGAAACCCGCAACGATAAGGAGCAACAAAACCAATACAAATTATAGGCAACAGTGGTTTACAGATGTTCGAATTTCAAAAATACATTAAGAAGATTAAAATCAAGGTAAAACACAAAACACTGAGGGAATCGCATGAACTTCAAAGCATGCGAGACCGGGTGCGTTGACAAGGTAACAGTCTCCTGCTATGTATGCATCACCCGCCACGAGAGTCCACAAAAACAAGTCTAATTTGTAATGCATAATGTTAAGGAATATTTTTTTGCACAGTTTTTTATATATATAAACAAGATTCATATTTTGAAATCACTATTCATTAGTTTAAAAGATGGATAAAAAATTTAATAGTTCACATGATTACAACTCTAACAGATTTGTTAATTTGCATTGCAGGAAGAGTTAACGAAGTCTATGTCGTATAATTTCGAAATAATTTATAAATAATTATAAGATTTAAAAAAGCATATTGCAAGAGAATTTGCATACTGATATATATATAATGATATTACCATAAGAGAAAGCACAACTGTTCAATTGTCTATGAAACAGTTACAATTATATCTTATATTGGCAAAAGTACATCTTCGAAGACATTATAAGTAAGTACTCTGGATATATTAGTTACGGTTGTATTCGTTACCAAGACCAATAATTAGTTAATGGAATCCAATGACGCAAATACGTTTTCTCTGAAGAATAGATTTTTTTAGTCATACTGTTTAGAGTAATGCTATGTCCAGGACAGGCTATATATGGTAGCTTTCTTGTGCTTTACAAAGCTATATATACGTCCATCTAAGTACAACGCTTATTTATTACAGACTTCCAGACGAACTACGTCATTTGTGACATATACAAGTTTTTTGTTTATGGAGCGTTCACTGGAGATTTTCTACATTAAGATTGCATAACTTCTGTTTATATGATGTTAACATTACACATGGGAACAATGTTCTGTCTAACACCTGCAGTACATTGCATTATTAAATAGTGTATATGCTATACATTTGAAGTTATACAATTATGCTATTATTTCCCCAGAAATTTGTAGCATAGATTTAATATAGATTACGTCACTTATGTCTATATGGTGGTGACATTACACAGGGGAAACATTTTCTGTCAAACAGTTGCAGATCATTGCATTACTTAATTGTGTATAAAATATACATTTGAAGTGTTGCCATGATGTAACTATTTCCCTTGGAATTTGTTTCCTTGGATACCAATAAGATATAAGTTCAAACGTATCATTCGTACATGAAAATAACACTCTATAAATTTTATAGACTGGTTCTCTGTCCTTTATCTGTTTGGCTCTGTATATGTTGCAAGGGAGAGCCGACCAGCCTATAAATTTTATTGCATCCAAAGTAATGAAGGAAAATTTATTGTGCTAGTAAATATACTGATTGGAGTATATGAAACACCAAAGTTTTATAACTTCAGTGATACAGCACATTGTTGTTAGTTTTTTTTTTTCTTTTCATATACTGGATATACTATTTGTGGTTACAAAACTACTTAAAAAACCATAAACATGTACTCCCCTAAGAACAAAGACTTAAAAAACAGAAAAATTTTCTTAATATGCGGGATGTTCATAATATCTAAATTCACTATATAACGATCACGACATGACTTGAATCGTCCCCACTGTTAGGAGCAGTATGGTGTAAGAGAACGATAAAAAGACTTTCATCAATTCTTTACGGAGCTTTATAAGTACTTTTTACTGAATTATTCAAAGTTATGTGACTATTGATCGCATCTATCCCAAAGAACCCGAAAGCAAGGATACCGCAGATACAACAAGGTGTTTAGTACTTTTGACTCAGACCTTAAATTCGAGATTAAGGGTCGGCTAAGAATTGATCCTACTATAAGACAGGCTTGAGATAAAAAGTTTGGTAAGCCAGAACACCAAAACTAACAAGGTGTAATCCTCTAAAATTAAAAAGTGTAATGGACACAATTATGACTTGGTTGACCATAACACAATATTTGTACATGAGATGACCACGGATATCTTCCATTTGTTATAGCCACACTTCCATCTACTTTTCTTCTTTCATGATATGTCATTGAATACGATTGTGGGTTAATACTGTTGTTTCCTATTAACCGAGATACGTCAATGTTATTGGATGGGACAGAAAATTTTTAAACTGCTAAAAATAGATCGTTGACAACAGGAAAATTGAAATCAAAGCTTTTTTCATAGAAAATTTTTAAACTGCTAAAAATAGAACGTTGACAACAGGAAAATTGAAATCAAAGCTTTTTTCATAGATCCTCGTTCATTTTTGATAAGGATCTCATAAAGTGGGAAGTTTTGGGTTAAAGGTCTGATTGATGTAGTAATATATACAAACGAATAAATTACTATTGAAATGTTATAAAAACTACTGTTTGTTGACTCTTGGGTACCTGTTGATTGTTTCTATCGTTTGTTGCTGTCTCATCATTGACATTTCCTTCAATTCATAAATAGAACTTATTTTAGAGACTGTAAGCGAAGTTGCAGAATCCATGTTCAACTGCACAGAGGCAGATAGTTCTGCTAGTGGCAGCTTATTGCATTAACATGTGTTGTATATGTTACAGCTTAACAATTGAGTAAAAATATTGTCTGGTTAATATTTTGGCCTCGAGCATCACCGAAGAGACATTGATTGTCGAAATGCTCATCTGGTGCAGAAAAAAATAAGTACCTTTTATGTTATTAATAGAAGTGGATAAATTATTTGTAGTAAGTGATATTTTGTACAATATCAATTGCTTTTTGCCCATCAGGGGCTCATTTGAGATGGAAAATAAGTTTTATCCTTAAGTTCAAGTTTTAATGACTATTTTTTAGCCTTTGTTCACTGCAGTATCATAATTTTCTCATATATATTAATAAAAATACACTATATTTATAGATTTTTCATGAATCAAAGAGTTTTTGATTTAGGTAAGGATGACAATTTTATAACAAATATGCTCAATATATGGATATACAGTTAAACTTGATTTCACATCAAATTAATTATTTTTTTTCACTTTTTAACAATACTTAGCCAATAACAAACGGATATTGCATTTCTTTTCCTTTTATGTCCTAAAATGTAATGAGCTAAATGATGACAAGAAAACATGATTAATTTTTATCGATATTGTTGTCTTCTTCGCCAAAGAATGATTTGCCAACATAGATTATGTCCAATATATCAAGTAAATTATACCTAAAAAGACCAGAGGAGGAACGATTTTACGTAGTAACGATTTCAAATTCCGTTCGGTAGTTCTAAATATGGTAAAAGATCGATGCGTTCATGTTTTTTTATTCAAATGTACTCTGCTAAAAAGCGTTAACTGCTACACAAAAATGCTACACTGTACACGACCACGACAACCACCAACTTTACTTCGACTAGTAATTTATTATTGAATTCCACACGAAGGTGAGCTTCATCTAATGGAATTTGTAATGCTAGATATATAAAAATTTCATTGTCTATCAACCAAGAATTTATCAAAATGTATTTGTACGTAATAAATCGTGGCCAAGGTCAAAACGTTGATTACTTAACGAATGTTAACCTACTGACAAATGGTCAACTGTCAGTGGTATCGACCCATTGGTTTTTATAAATTCTTTGATCATGTCTCTAAACAGTCACAGCTAAAATTCAGTAGTTATGCAAGCCAAAATGACGATATGACCTAATGTGCTCTGACGATGACACACAATAATTGCAACTGCTTCCGGCAATCACACTCTTGTTTTTATTAACATCGATGTCAATCATCCAGTAAAGATGAATATTCATTACTACCCTCGGTGGTTGACGTCCCTCGCTGGTTAACTTTAAGTGCCGACCACTTGAAAACTCTAGTCCTAAATAAGGCCGTCAGACGTCAGATCAATCTCGGACTAGACCCACAGTTGGTCTATATTGATATGAAGTAATGACCTGTTCTTAATCGCATTGATCCAAGCAGGGGTGTTGTTGAAACATAATAACCGTACAAGCGTCAGACCAATTATTAGAAAGAGGACCAACGCTGAACAAAATAACAAATAAAGAAATGATATATTAAAAAGGATAGGATGTAAGACATGTTGTCAAAAACAGTAGCATTAAGATATCTATAAAAATTTAGCTCTTAGTCGGCTTTAGATTATATATTTATAACGTATTGGTACATCCTTTTGTTTCCAAACGTTAAGCTCTGTTCGTGCTTAATTAAGTTTAATCCAGAAATTGTGCGTGTTATTTTTTTTTTCTAAATTCATGTCCCTGATGTGTAGAATTGTTTATAGCTTAGTTTAAGCAGAAGGTATATAAAACGAATTAAAGTGTATGATATTATCTGTTATTGTCAACAAGTACATTGGAATGATACGAAATCAATCACATTGTCAAATAAAACGTCATTAATAGTAATATCAATGTTGAATAACAATTTTAATCAGCGAGGTCCTAGACAATATCAAGGTTCGTAAAGTTCGTCTGTACCGATAATGAAATCACAAATATAGTAACAATTTGTATCATAATCTCAAAACAACATCGTAAAACTACCTCTCGAGTAAGCACAGTTTGTACAGATTGTTCGTATGTTATCCTATTACATTAGTGTGTCCTGTTAGAGGACGGTGTTGGCTCAACTCTGACATCAGGAGCATGTGGCATGGCCCAGTGGTTGTTGTTTGTTTGATTATAAGTCAGGAGTTAATTTTCTCTTTTGAATTGTTGCACATTTTGTCACCTCGGGTCATCCTTTGAAACAATATGGTTTTTGCTCATTAATGAAGGTCAACGGTGACTTGACCGTTGATCTGTTGTTTTTGGTGGACACTTGTCTCATTGACAATCATACAACAGCTCCTTATTTCTATATCGAATAAAACAAACGGACACGATATGTGTTTGGTATTATACGTCAATGATCAGCAATCCCAAAAATCCCAAAACCAAAAAGACACCCAAAGGTCAACAAATGTATTCAATTTTAGAAAAATCTAAATGCCTATAAACTATACCCCGTGACTTCACATTTTGTAGCAAATCTAACAGTGACTAAATTTATCAACACCATATATTTTAAAGGCTAAATATGACACGGCGATAAAACAAGAGACAACTTTCAGTCTGTGGTTAATTTTTGGGTCGATGCCACTGCTTGTGGACGTTTCGTCCCCGAGGGTATCACCAGCCCAGTAGTCAGCACTTCGGTGTTGACATGAATATCAATTATATGGTCATTTTAATAAATTTCCTGTTGACAAAACTTTAAATTTTTCGAAAAACTAAGGATTTTCTTATCCCAGGAAAAGATTACCTTAGCCGTATTTGACACAACTTTTTGGAAGTTTGGGTCCTCAATGCTCTTCAACATTGTACTTGTTTGGCTTTATAACTATTTTGATCTGAGCGTCGGTGATAAGTCTTATGTAGACGAAACGCGCGTCTGGCGTATTAAATTTAATCCTGGTACCTTTGATAACTATTTGTTACATCTTTTACTTTGTAAAACCTTCATGAAATCTTACAAAACTATGACAGAAGCTTCTATGATCAAAAAACATTATCAAGAGAGAGAAAAAAATGAAAACATGTATTTCTATTTTTCTTCTTTTACTGATAAATGGACTTTTTGGGAGTTTAACTTGAGTGCGTTTTTGGGTTTTAAGGATTTTAAACACCAATAACTTTGTTAAATATACATGGAAATTCACCAAACTTCATTGGGAGAAGCTTCTTCGTGATAAAAGAAATTGCTTGAATTTTCATTTATTTTCCCATATTTTACTGATAAATAGATTTACCTGTCAACTTTAAACTTTTACAATGACAGCGACAATCGCAATCGAGACAAGGGTTCCACAGATTCCTTTGGGATATTTTATCATAGAAAGGTATTGTTGTTGTATTAAAACACACTAACTTAGTAACTCAAGAGTACAAAAGCTGTTGTGGATAAAAATCAGAGTCAAAAGTTAATGAACAATACACGACCAAAACGACACGTAAATTGTTTTGTCATAAATCAGGTCGACGGTTTTCTCGTGTGAATTTTACATTTTGTCATGTTAGGGCCTTTTAAACGGTATGGGTTTTGCTCATTGTTGAAGGCTGAATGATTGCCTATAGTTGCTTACATCCCGTCAATTGAACTCTGGTGCAGGTACTGAGTACAAAATAAGGTTTGAAAGAATATTTGCCACGATAACCTATTTAATTATGAAATATCTCAAATTCCACTAATAGAAAGTGTTTGTATTTTAACCAACAAGATCATATAGAAAAGTAAATCAACACTTCAATCCTTTAAGTAAAATGTTATATTTATAATAATTTCTTAAAGTAATTGAAAAATTACCTGAACTTCCCATAATGGCCAGCAGTTGTCCAGATTTGGCTGTAAATGTTACATTGTCTAAGACTCTTTGTGGACCAGAACATTCCGTTACTTCCCATGGCATCTGTAAAGTGGACAATTTTTGGAAAAAGTTTAAATTCTTTGGATTCACTGTGTAGCATAGTTTATCGACGCTCAGGTCTATCTGTAGACGTCTGTTTGTTTCCAAGGTATAGGCAGTCTGAGTTGGCGCCTTTTCTTGCGGCTCCTCTATGCTGGAAACAACTTCTGTTGGTGATGACATTGTTTCTTATTGTGTTGTAGACTCCATTACTAAAACAGGATATAAATATATATCGACCCTAGACATTTATCAGTATAGACAAAGATAAAACTTGATAAATTTGTCTGATAAATAAAATTAACCCAAATAAACCATCGTCATAAGGATTGGGTATGTTCCACATTTTTCATTTAACTAGAAATGTCTTTTATAATAGAATATTTGTATTTAATTTTTAAAAAGCAATAAAATAATATAAATGAATACAACTGAAATGATTACATGGCACTGTTCTGCTATCTTTCAATCAGAAATTGTTATGTAAAGTGAAAATACGGAAGAAAAACATGGCGGAATCTATTATTAGTATATATATATATATATATATCTATAAAGTTTGGAACTTAATCTGTAACAAAAAAATAAAATATACAGGTGCATGACAATGATGCTCCATTGTGAAATACATACATATCGTATTGGTTGCAAGCCATGTTAAGCGCTCTCCTGTTATTACTTTAAAACCTATCATTGCTAAAGATGTATTAATATACAGGAAGGTATAAAAAAATAAATACGGACATAATACGAATAGAGATAACCGCCTACATGAGTTTATTCTAATTGTTTTGTCACCTCGGTTTGAGTGGACACTTGAAAATGTCCATGAAAACGTTGTGTTATGAAACGAAGCGCCCAGGAAAATACAACTGCTGCTAAAATAGAAGTCGACAGTCCCATCTAAACGATCTCTAAAAGTTTGAAGTGAAAGTTACATGATAGTATTCACTTGGGTTTCCGTAAAGGTATCACAGCTATTTAATATCGCTTTTAGGAATGCACGAAGGGGATTAATATTTAGCTGTCATTTACAGAACGTCGAAAACATATAACAAAAATACCGAACTACAAGGCAAATTCAAAAAGGGGAAGTCTATAAAAACTGACAAAATCAAACGTTATCAACCAATGGAAAGAGTTGAAAACAACTGTCATATTCCTGACTTGGTATTGGCATTTTCTCGAAGAAAATGGTGTGTCAAACCCGGTTTTATAGCTAGCTAAACCTCCCACTTGTATGACAGTTGATTTTTCAAAAGAATACTTATGTTATATACTGTATATATATATATATATATATATAAACAAGTCTAAATTGAAAACAACGTTCAAACCTATGATTGCGTTGGATAAAAACCGCAATTTTTATTTGTGTGGATGCAAAAAAATTTCTTGTTAGAGGGGTCTAAATACAGCACAAACAACAATTTCCAAAAGACCAAAAAAAGTGAAAAAGTATATTTTAACAAAACGCATTTGACTAACAGGTCGAACAACAAATGTTCTTAAACCCTGATGACTGCCATTGGCGATTGCCAAATAAACGGATCACCGATGTAATAAATGGATCTTAATTTTAAATCTAATACTAAACAGAAAACAATAAACTTGCGGAGAAGATGATATACCGCAAACAAAAGGTGCAAAGGTTTTTGTACACCATATCCGGATTTCGACAAATAATGTCTTTTCAGTGATGTTAGGAATCGAAACGGTATTATATATATATAAGTAGCGTGTATCAAATGCTAACATATGTTTTTATCAAATTGTGTAACTTTATAAATATAATTTGATTTCCCTTTGTCTTCGCAATTTTTTATAAATAATATTAGATTAAAAATGTAATATGCTTTTCCATGAAAGTGTACGGTTGTGTTTAATTTATCATAACTATTTTACTTTCACAAATCGGTAAGTGCATAATGACTTTAGTTTACTAATATACTAAAATCCAGAATATTATAAAATTGTAAAATTGAACAATTTCGCGATCTTAGATCTTAAGACACCAGAATATTCGTCTTATCTGTATATCTACCGAGTACAGGTATGTACTTTTCCCTATTGTGACAGTCTTGATTCGCCATTCGGGAGATGCACTCACAATAGGATACTCTTACCCTGTTGACGTACCCGATCTTACTCATTTTGGATTTCATGTTTTAACCTCAGATTTTATTTCTTTGTTTCTACATTGAAAATGGATATACTAGTTTTCATCATCGATAAACTATGCTGCATCCCACAGAAAATAATTTCTCAGTCAGAATTCAAATTTTAGAGAGCAACAGTATTAGGGGTATAGGACCTAGTTATATTTGATTGGTTTATCATACCGTAACTTCAATTGTTAGTCTTTTCGACGTTTTTTGGCATGGTATTGTCGGTTTTTCTTTGACTTTATGCGACTTACGATTGTCCCTTTATGTTGAACGCATTTGTCCCATCGAACTTGAAATAATGAAATAAAGGATACAACAGATACAGTTAAGTCTGTCTCATATCTTGACTTACATCTAGAAGTTAACAACGAGGGTCGGTTGAGAACAAAACTTTACGGCAAAAGAGATGATTTCAGCTTTCCAATTGTGAACGTTCCATTTCTATGTAGCAGCATTCCAGCAGCACCTGCATATGGAGTATATATCTCCAACCAGAGCAAGTATTTCCTATTATGATTTTCTTGGTATAGGATTGCTACTTATAAGGAGGCTACTGAACCAAGAGTTCCAAGTGGTGATGTTGAAATCATCCCTTCGAAAATTGTACGGACCCATCACGAGTTGGTTGACTGTTATGGAATATCTGTTTCTCAGATGACGACGGATATCTTCCGTCTGTTGTAACCACAATCCCGTCCTTTTTTCCTCGAATGTGATCAACCGAATTAGACTTATCACCGAGTTTGCCACGGTGCTTACAGGAGCACCATGTCACATGTGGAGCATGATCTGTTAACCCTTCACCTGAGATCATCACGGCCTCGATTTTTGGTGGGGTTCATGTTGCTCAGTCTTTAGTTTTCTATGTTGTGCTTTATGTACTGTTGTTTGTTGTTTTGTCATTTTTCGTGTTTGCCATGGCATTGCCAGTTTTCGACTTATGTGTTTGGTATCTTTCGCCTCTCTTTTCGAATCGTATGTCTCGTTTTTTTATCTGGTTTTAGTTTTCTAAGTTAAATTTTGAGCTATGACCTTGTACGTAACATTTCTAGACCAAACATTTACATTATTTTTACCTAACTCAAGTGTTGAATCGCAGACATATCAGCATCAAATAACGATTAATTTGGTGAATTGAAAAAGGAGAAATCGCGACGAGAATTTATTTTAAGAAGTAGACAATGGAAAGTTAACCGAAAACGCTCAGATTCAAAATTAGTCCTTGTTCATTTTCTAAAGTAATTAAACAATTCACATTTCCTGAACAATCAGATTGCAAACAAAATACTCTTAAGTGAAAATATGCTTGAGTTAAACCATACAATATGTAATAGCACGAAAATTACATTTAAATACTGTCTTTTCACAGTTTTTTTTTTACCAAAAAATATCTTTCTAAATACATTATTTTACATTGAACTAAAATATTGTTCACTCCGGTCCTTAACAATTTGTTCAGAACCAGAACTGTTAAGTATGGATTATGTTACAATATCTATAATGGAATATAGACTATGATTCACATTAAATAGAATATATATATATATATATATATATATATGTGTGTAAATTTGCTTAGACTTTTCACAATTCATTTTCACAATTCAATTTCACAAAAGGCAATGTCATAATGCAAATAAACTGAAATTATAAAACAAGCTGCACCTAAAGGAAAAATCGGTCGAGTAAATTATTCACGGAGATTGATTTTTCAGCATTGAAAAATAAATAGTTAACACATTGAATGTCAGAGCAATTGAAATCGAATGAATTAAATACGTGGATAAGCTGTAAAAAGTATTTATACGGACTTAGTTGTTAATTTCTGTGTCATTTGGTCTCTTGTAGAGAGTTGTCTCATTGGCAATCATACCACATCTTCTTATTTTTACATTATCTCATTGGCAATCATACCCCATCTTCTTATTTTTATATTATCTAAAGTATATGAGTGATTGGCTAAAAAGTACATTGTTTCTTTTTCTCAAAATTCGGCAGGCAATCCACAATCATGTCGTAAACATGTTACAAAAAAGGTTGATTTAGATTAAGCAGTCAGCTTAAAAACAAAGCTGTATCTCATTCTTACGGGACGTATGATATTTTTATGATTCAAGTACGTTTCCAATGTTTTTACTTCTTACTGTACAATTAAAAATGAATCAAAAAGGATTTTAACCATACGCGTTTTTGTATTTCTAACATAAGCGTTTTGTATTGATGGATAGTATTCATCTATTATATTTATAAAGTCAAAACGCCAAAACGCGAAGTCGAAAACCCGAAAATGCATAAAAACACCCGCATATATTAGATATTTAATCTAAGTGTGCACAACACCAGCCAACAATTATATGAACAATGCTGGACCTTTTCCATCAGCTAATTTAAATGCTCCTGATTCAAATATGGAATCAAAATGGAATCAAGTTTTTGGAATTCAAATATTAAAAAAGCTGAATATGCAATTCAAATATAGTTTAAAGTCATTTTTTTTATCAGTCTGAGAGTGGTAAATTGGTAAGGGAACAACTAAGGCTGAGAGTGGTAAATTGGTAAGGGAACAACTAAGTCTGAGAGTGGTAAATTGGTAAGGAAACAACTATTTAACTTACAGGGGGATTACGGTTTGTTTACCTAAAAAAATATTCTGATTCCAAAGAGAAGGAAAAATAAATAATCTGTCGGAGCATTGGCCAATAAAAAAATCTGATTTACAAAACTATGATAAAAATTACTCTGGTTTTGGTGAATTATATAAAAAAAATCAATCCAAGAGAGTTGCTTGAGAAATCCCAAGCATTATAAGAAATGCTGCAGACCATATTTACATACCTAACTTGCTTTATTTTTACCTTAAAAAAAAACTTCTTTTGTTTTTCAGTCCATTCCTTGAAGTTTCAAATATCTCTGTACTCACATTATTGAGTTTTCTGAACTATGGATGCTGACAAAGATATATAAATTCATTTCAAATGAACCGGGTTCATGGGAAAGGGCGGCATAGAGGATGTACGCCCCGCCCCCTTTTTGGTCGGAACAAATTTTATATTTTGCTTTATATCGGCAAAAATTGCTTTTGAAAAAAATTCTCATTCGATTTGGTAAGAAAAAAATAATTTGGTTTGATGGTAGTGGAAAAAATTAGAAATATCCATCTGTTGAAAAACAAGTATAGATATTGCTGTAAACAGCATGTGTATTATATTTGTTATGTTTTATTCATGTAGTTAATATTGCATTGAGAGAGCCTCATTGAAAATTAGTGCAATCCTAATGAGTTACTCTTAAAATAATTTTCAAAATGGCCACTGTTGCGATGGAAACCGCAAACATGTGGAAAAATATAAAATAAAATGTTCCAAACTTAATGCAACATTACAAAAAACTGAACTGCCATACGTATATAGGCATTTAGTGTTTAAAAGATTAAAAATAGCGGCCTTTACAATTGACACAGCAAAAAATTGAAAAACTGAAGAAACAAATTATCCAAACTTACTGAAATTTAAAAGAAATTTGAATTGTCATATATAGATGTGCAGTTACTGTTTCATTTTAAAATGGCTTCCATAACCATGGAAACTGCAAGTTCGGATGACGTTGCTATTGCTTTCAAATGCATTTCTTATTATAATAATGAATTCTATAAATCATCTTCCTCACAGTTGTCTATGGTATTTTACTAAAATAATAATCCGCATGCCTTTGTTAAGGATAATTGAAAAAAATTGAACCACAGTTTTTAACGATTGTTTTTTTATTTCTTCGCTGTTTAAAAAAATTGAACCATGAAATTAAAGAAAAAAATCAATTTTGATCTAAAATACAGAAGAGAAGAAACCACTGTTTTCATATATAAAAAGTCTATATAAAAATTTAAAACTTTGTCAACAAAAGAGAGGCGATAGATATCAAAAGGACATTCAAACTCTTACGTCGAAAATAAACTGACAACGCCATGGCAAAAAAGGGAAAAGAACAAAAGACAAACAACAGTATACAAAACATCAAATCAATATGTTATTCAGTGCAGCATGTCGCTGTTTGTTATTCAGCGCAGCATGTCGCTGTTTGTTATTCAGTGCAGCATGTCGCTGTTTGTTATTCAGTGCAGCATGTCGCTGTTGAAGACAATATGACATATCTAAGAATCATTTTGTGTCTGAAGAAACTTTGATTTTGGTATAAAATGTCCTTATTATGAATATTTAAATGAATACTCTTGATTTTCCCAAATCTATCAAAATTGCATTTTGGAGCTATCTTTCTGCATTTATAGATCATACATAATTTTTATTTCAATAGAATAAGTAAACCTTTGTAGACAGACTGAAATACTTTTTTGTAGATGCCCCTTATAAGAAATAAATTCGGGCAAAATTTGCCCTCCTGTGATAATAATTGGAGAAAATTGACTCGCATATGAAACAAATTCAGAAGATATTGACCCTCATGTAGAAAAAAAAATAAGGGGAAATTAGCCTTAATCTTGAGATGCCCTTTTCATTCAATTTTATATCCATATATATTACGTAAGAATACTTATCAGTGCAATTGACAAACACTTAAATTCAAGATACAATGTTAAGTATTGCAAGATCTTTATCTGGTTAAAAAAAGTGTGGTTACAAGTTTCCGTTTGTACTCAAAGTAAACAAAAAGATGATCTCTAACGTCAAATGTAGCATTTTTGTGGAAAATGGATATTTTGTGATATTTCTTGATTATATATAGACTTCACCGTCTTCTTTGTTACATAAAAAACCCTAAACATATACTATTCAGTTTTTGTTGCATCTTTAATTTTCATACTTTTTGGGCCAAATAAGGTGAAAACACTATTTTCTTTTCACAAATCAAAACTCGTTTACATTAAAAGTAGAGACGATACAAAAGGGGAAATTAAAAGGGAAGAAAAACAGACAACACCGCACACCGGGTATTCCGAAACCCGCGGAAGGATCCAAACCCCGATGAACAATTAATGAAAAGTTTTTAACGGTGGTAAGTAAAATCTGGATCCGATTCCTACGGAGCATATTCCTTCGGATCCATATTTTACTTATCCACCGTTACAAACTTTTCATTAATTGCTCCTTGTGATTCCTATCCCTTCGCGGTTTCGGATCGGAATATCCGTTGTGTACCATAGCCAAAAGAGAACCATAAAAAATACAAATTCAGTATAAATCAACACTACATAGTAAAATAAAGGTCGAGCAAGACATATATCCCAGCCAAAAACCGGGTTACTCAGGTGTTCCGTTTGCGTAAGTAGTACCTTCTCCACTAATCGCACCGATGCGTTGCTCATACCATGTAAAAGTGCGACAAGTCGCATTCGGAGATCTCACAATCGAGAAAAATAGGACGGGTTTGCGTCATTGATTCAAAACATAGCATGTAATGTACTAATATAGTGTAAAAGTTCTAAGCTGCATCATCTATAAAAATATCTGCTTTATTTTTTCTAAAGGGAAAAACTAATCGAAATATAGCATAACGTGTTTCTTCGATAAATCGTAATTTATCCTTGCAAAAATATATAATGACACAAAATACTGTTAATTCCCCAATACATTTTTTTTTAAAATACAAAAATAACTCATCAACAATATAAGATTAAAAAATCCCACTTAGTATAAATAACTGTGTAAATAATTACCCATGTATTTCCTAATATAGAGTTGAATGGATGTATTGTTATTCCATTCACAGAAACGATATAATAGGCAGAAACGTTTGTAGCAAAAGAAATAAGATGTCGTAAAAGACAGGTAGATGAAAAAAAAACGTAATTATTTAAACAAATGTGAGACATGAAATAAAAACAAGTGTTACTTACCGGTGTTGCTTTCATTCTTCTACATTGAGAAGCCTGTCTGATGGTGACGTCACATATCGATCTATCAACTCGAAGGAAATTCACTGGCACTGACGATCGATGATGTTAGGCTTTAAATTTATTAAGTGTTTCAACGACATGGTTGTGTTGTATATGAATTTATTTATTTATTAAAATCGCACCTACCTAGCCCTTTGTCAACGTGTTAAACGGTACTTTTCACAATACACAATAAATGGACTTTATTAGGGAGGCTAATTTACATGTCAAACCTTATGATTTAAATAGCTTATAATAAAGTCAACAGTCGATGATACAAATTTGAAAACAAAAGTTTTCAGTAAAATAAGATTTGACAAAAAATTGAAAAACTCGAAAATTATCTGATTTCACTGTTTTTAATGTGCTTGTGATATTATCTTATTTAAAAAAAAAATAGATGATAAGATGGTATTGTGCTATACTAGCCTTTGTTAGAATTTTTTAGTTTTCTTTAATATCTTAAATAAGCTAAAGAGAAAAGTTACATTTTCTAGCTAAATTCAACTTTCAAATTCTTTGTTACTGTCATTTTATTAATTTGAAATTTAGTGTTAAACGAGAAAGAGTTGAATAAGTTATATAAATTTCATAAAAATTGTTGTAATAAGATATCTATTATAAAATTTAATATAAATACATGTTTTACAGAATTTTAGGCAGTATTCCTTCTTTTTCGTGATCTTTAGGCCCAATAGGAAATCAATGAAGACGCAGATGGTATCACAACATTGGAAGCTGTTGTTTTGGAAATGAATCTCTTACCGCTGATTTTGAAATCCTCAAATCGGATTTATTTTCGTGGACGTCGATTGTTTTTGTCTTTATCTGTTGATATAGTTGATACATACAGAATTAAGACAGATATACCAATAAGGTCCTTTTAATCGGATTTATTTTCATGGTGTTGTATCTGTTCAATATGAAGATCTTTCATACACTAGAGAATTAGCCAGATTGGGAACCTACGATCTAAGTAGCTTTCCCAGTTTGTCTTTTGCATTCATCGAGAAGGAATTATGTTAGCATTATTATATTCCGGTTAGCAATTACAGGAGTTCAAGTATAGTAGTATATGGCCACTATTCCCAGCTTCAAGCCATCCTAAGCCGTTGTATGGATTTTCATTCATCATGAAGCATTGCTTGCTCACTGTATATTTATAATGTGATTCTCGTATTTTTTCTCTCTGACATGACGTGATTGGGACATTCGTCTGCGTGTACTCCTCACAGTCAATGAAAGACGTTCCACGAAACTTACAGTGTGTTATAAATAAATAATTCAGCTTTATTTAGAGTCGGCATAGTATACAAATAAGGACATAACATAAGCTCTAATGAGCTTTTAACCGACATAGTGTTTACTACATAGTGGCTTGCATATCTCCTATTTTAACAAGATGTTAACTGCAGATAAGGAATGCTGTTAACACAAAATGAAAAAATTATACTTTCCAAAGATATATATATATAGCAAATAAAAGGACCGCTTAAAGTATTGACCGAGGTCGTCTTTATTTTGCTGCTGTATAAGATGTGAGCTCTTAAGTTCTTTTTTGATTACCTTCTGGGATCTGCCGAGATGAATATCATAAATGAAAGATGAATATTTTTTTTGGGACTATGTGTCTGGTATACAGTCATGCCATTTCTATATTTCTTTTCCAATGGACCAATTTAAAAATTCAAATTTCGTCCTTTCAAATTACTTTGCGCATTCTCAGCGTCCTCCTGGACACATCGGGTATCCCGATCCGACAACTAATGAAATTTAAAGTTTGTAACGGTGGGTATAGGTAAAATCTAGATTCGATACCCACGGAACATAATTCATCCGTGGGAATCGGATCGAGATTTTACTTACCCACCGTTACAAACTTTTCATTAATTGCTCCTCGGGTTTCGGATCCCTCCGCGGTTTCGGATCAGTGGATACCCGGTGTGCTGAATGACGTGAGGATCAGTCAGTCTTAAACAGTGACGCTCCCATAGTGTAACACCATTTCAGAATTGCTCAATCCATTTTAATGAATTGATTTTATAAACATCATATGCGGTTCCGTATTCAGAATACAAGATACTTTATATTAATGTATATCTCCATAAAAATATATTTTTGATATCAGTCTGTATTTTGTTACAAAGTCTATCTCATTATTATAGATATTTGTATCTCAGATTACTGTTTTGGCTATAGAAACATCGATAAATCAAATATCACTTGTTTTTGCAAATTATCACGTGCAGTGTTAATTATAAGATGACATGTCTACGAGGGCGTTGTTCGTGTCAATTTTCTATCAATTATCTTTTCTTCTTTCAGTAAAATGTCAGATAATCCCTGTTTTTCGTATTTCAATGGTTGTGGAAATATCTTAGACCCGGATGAAGATGATGCACAAATCGTACCAACACTTAATCTCCTTAATATTAATTACGATATAAAGCAATATGTAGGACCATGGTGGAAAGGTGCCTGTTTCAGAAAAAGACAGAATAAAACAGTTTTAAGTAACATAAATGTACAATTTAAAAGTGGAGAGATGACCGCCATATTGGGAAGTTCAGGTTAGATTACAATGAAATTGTTTGACCGAAATCATAAAAGGAATAAAATACAAAAAGAACAGAAAAAAAAAGAATATCTTGAAATTCGAAGTATTTACTAGTATCAGGCCGGAAGAGGAGTTCTTGAGACACAAAATAACAACTCACAAAAGACCGGATATAATAGTACTTACGTAATGTAACAAACCAGGTTTATGCCCTTCTCTCATTATTATGTATTTAGTACTATAAGTGGCATATGATAACAGTTATATTTCCTTATAGTTTGATTTGATAGAAAATGGATTTATCATTCTTACATCTAAAGGATAGCTTGACAATAGATTTTTTCTTCCTTCTTATGATAGGTGTGGGTTTGTATGTGAACTGAAACATCGCCATAAAGTAGCGCACCTGCTTTCAAAATTCAATATATTCATGTTTTTAAGAGCTATATAATATTGTCTTTTTTTTTTGTCGTCTTAAAAAAAATCCTTTCGAATATTTCAGGTTCAGGAAAAACGTCTCTTTTAGACGTTATATCGTCGAGATACACAGGGAAACTTTATGGTAAGGTCTACTTCAACAATTACCTTTGCACCGCAGACATAATTAAACAGTACGCTGCTTACGTCATGCAGGCCGATCGTCTGCTGCATAACTTAACAGTTCGCGAGACGCTGAAATATTCTGGTATTCTAAGACTTCCTGGAGCATACAACGACAAAGAAATCAATGCTGAAGTGAGAATTATTTATAATCCATGGTTAAGGCAAAAACCAAATCCCTGAAGACATGAGAATTGTTAATCATTTTTCCAGTCTTTGATTGTAAATGACTCTTCTACACATCTTAAATAACAAAAGCTTAATTATTTTGATTCTAATTATATGGCTGGAAACTTCTTTCTTTTATATAGAAAACAACATTTGAAAACTAGACAGATAATGTGTTTCCAGTCGATATTTATTAACAGTAATCGGTAATCGGAGGTACTATTAGTATAGAAATTTCAATAAACACTACATATAAAGAATAATTGAATGTTGCTACAAGAATTTGTTTTATAGGTTAATCGCGTGATAGCCGACATGGGGTTAAAACACGTGGCAGATTCAAAAATAGGTGGAGCTGTAATCAGAGGGATATCTGGCGGAGAAAGAAGGCGTGTCACTATTGCTATTCAACTTTTACAAAACCCAAGTACGTTTGGTCTTTTGTCGGTTTTTTTTGTGTTGTTTGGTTGCTGTCTATTTGATTTATGTTTCTAGCTCCTTTTATCTAATTATTTCGACAATACATTTCTACAGTAAACATTTTTTTCATTCCATGCAACAGTTGACCATTTACCAAGAAACAATATTAATTTACCTTCAGAATTTGGCATAACTTTTATCTTTTCGTCTTTCGGACATGTAACATTGACAGTAGCGAAGGCTTAATAATGTATGTTTCAGCTGGTAGTAGCGGTCTGTTTCATATAATCCTTGATATTTGAATTCACGTAACACGTGTACTATAAAAGTCGTTCATTTGTTTTCCAGAAATCCTTTTACTAGACGAACCTACTACTGGTCTCGACAGTTGTACAACGCGTCACCTGGTTTCCAGTTTATCAGACATTGCCCACAATGGAAAAATAGTAATTATGACAATCCACCAGCCAAGATCTGATGTGTTTAAATTGTTTGACAACATAGGACTTTTAAGTATGGGAGAAATAGTATATTTTGGAAAAGCTAACCAAATGGTTGAATATTTTGGGGGACTTGGATATCCATGTCCAACATATGCAAATCCGTTAGACCATTATGGTAAATACAAAAACTATCATCTTGTGTTGTCCCATTTGACTCTTAGCGTTCTTTATGAAGATAAATATAGAAAATGCACTTCAACGGAACGCAACAAATGAAAGCTGTTCCTTTAACTTTGATATTATTATTATATGTGTCGCATTCCCGATTCTAACATTACAAATGAGTAAAGATTCGCATCGGATGATGTATGGATAGCATAAGACTTTTACCCTGTTGACGCACCCGTTCTCGTTCCTTTAATAATTCATGTGATTCCCTCAGTTTTTGCTATTTATTTGATTTGTATCTTCCTAATGAATTTATGAGATTTGAACATCAGTAAACTTTTAATTTATTATACCAACAACAGCAACAACAGTTATTCTTCTATACTGATGTTGTTGCTGTGAAAAATGACTTGTTTTCTGTTTATAGTTGATCTTGCAAGTATCGACAGACGAGACCGTGATTTAGAAGTAAGGACATTTGCTAAAGTAGAAAATCTCATCATGACCTATACAAACTCGATCATCAAAAGAGAAATGGTCCAGAACATAGAAAAAGAGACCATGCGTCCAACAACAAGAAGAACAATGCTGCACTTAGACAGACCACATTCACCTATTGTTTTCACTGTTATGTTTTGTCTTATAAGGTAAGTAAACGGAACTAATCGTGCTTTGATAGCTTCGTAAATTTTTTTTATTAACATTTCGTCTCAAAACAATTTCTTCTTTCGTGCAATCTAAGATTTCTCATCATATTGGTTTACTGAATGAAAATAAATGATGCATTTCACAGATTTGTTGGCTTAGAAATTAATAATTTTCCTTGGTAACAGATATAAGGACATAACAAAGAACGAAGTATTCATATTTCATCTAACATTCAATATTTCTTAGATGTTTTACGATATTCACATAAGATAAGAGAAACTAATTGTCTACAAAAGTCTTCGGTTGCATCAGGATAAATCAGAGAAAGTGTCTAATAAGTGGAAAATATATACCAAAAAGGGGTGGGGTGGGGGGAAGTGCAATCAAAAACCATCAGTCGAACAAAAATAGACAACATAACGGATCAAAAGAAAAAGGCAAGCAACAGGGCTCGTATGCATAAAACCACTTAAGTTAAGAAATCCAATCGTAGTACTAATTTATCGTTGGACACGTAGCAAAATTCGTCCGTTCGGAACAAATCTTAACTTAAGTAGCTTTATGCATACGGGGCCAGTCTTCTAAACACGCAGAAAACTAAAGATAAAGCAACATGAACCCCACCATAAATTTACAAGAAAGAGCAATAGATGATTTTTACAAATGTTGCTCCTGGGTCCCTTTGAAACAACTCTTTACTTTTATGCATGTACGAATCACTGTGTTTTGAGTTGTTATCGAAAGTTACGGGTTAGTATTATTTGATAATATATACGTCAATTTTCGTTTGCCTACCACCATACTCATTTAGAAGCATCGTATTTATCATTTCAGAAGGATGATGGTAAATTTACGAAGAGATAGATCTATATACTTGTCTCGTATATTGTTGTTGACTATGTATGTACCATTTATACTGGCTTTTCTGGGACGTTTAAAAGACAACCAGGAGTCTATACAAGATAGAATGGGATTACTTTATCAGTCTACAAATGTACCTATGTTTGTTGCCGTCCTAGTCCCTGTGGCTGTTTGTAAGTAAAATGGTACACAATCAGTTTATAAGATATTTATATCTTAAGGATGTACTTAGGTCAGGTTTAGGAATTTGTGTCAGATGTTCGGACTCCTTGTTTTTTCCCTACGTTACAGGGTAGAATATTTTGCCCCATAGCACCCATTTTTCTTTTCATATAAGACTATTAAAGCTCATAAAAGGTTTACCAAAATTTAAGCCGATTCTATATTTCTTTTCTTTCGATTTGAGACCCAAATAATATCAATACAAACAGAAGGTAAAAGTCCGAATCAGCCTTTTCCCGCCATTAAAATAAAATTAAATATCTCGAAAAGGAGCTCCATAACCTATCAATATTTTTAGCTTATTTTGTTCCATAACTAATGCTCTTCCGACTTAATTTCACCTAAGTACATCCTTAAACGGGTCGCGTCAGTCATTTCTAAGGGAGCTACCATTTGATTTGTACGCCGGGGGGGGGTTGGAGATAGGATGAAAAATTTTGTCCTGCACTTTTTTAAGTTGTAATCTCTGTCCTGCCTTTTTATTTCTCACTCTATTCGGTCCTGCCTTTTTTTTTTTTATTAATTTATTCTCACTTTTTTTACATAAATTGTCATCCTGACTTTTTTTTTTGCAACGTTGCTCATCCTGCCTTATTTTTTACTCAGAACTCCTTTCCTGCCTTTTTTCTTTTTTTCAAATTTCATCCTAGACATAATTATATAGTTTCTTGTGAAACCTTTAGTTTCACAACCATATACAATTTCATTTCGTATGACTTTAATAAATCATATTTATTCATTCGGAAAAGCCTAATTATAGATTTATTCATTTGTTAATGTCGACATATTTTTACTTTTCAGTTCCTCCAATACGAGATCTGTATTACAGAGAATGTCGGGACGGACTGTATTCAACTACAACCTTTGTTTTATCATACATTATACATATCATACCATTCCATGCTGTAGCAAGTTTAATATTTTGTTTGATTGTATATTGGTAAGTGTTATATCAAGCTTGTCATATATAGCACCGAACTTTTCTACGTATCTATACATCCTTGGCTTTCAAATGCTTAGATTTGAGCGTTCCTGATGAAGGTAATTCTAGAAAAGCACATTAAATTTATAAACTGTTATTTTCATCAGTTACAGGAATTTCTCAAAATAATTAATCTTAGGCTGATTCAAAATATTTGTTCAAACTCGTAATATACCTATACTTAGTTTTACTACTTCGTTGTCGTTATATATATATTTTTTTTTTCATATCCATACCAAAGCAAGATTTTGTCAGTTTTGTATGTCTACAACACATATCATTGGTCTCAAATTACATGAGTAACACGACAGTTTTCACTACTGAGAAGAAAATCATTCCCATTCCAGAGCACCTACATTCATCCCATTTTTAGTTAGTTTATATCTTTAGGTTTCTGTGAAGTGTTTAGTACATTGTTGTTTGTCTATTAGTCTTTTTTTATTTTGGTTGTTGTGTTCTTCTTCTACGTATAACTTCGATTGCCCCTTGGTATATTTTGTTAACTTTTTTTCTACATGCCAGACTATTTCCTTAAGTTTTCAAGTATTAAGAGTAATGATTCATCTGGATTTGCTACTAATGGAAGTGTCTCAAGGTTTCAGATTTAACAGATTCTTCTTATATCAAAGTGGAAAAACTGGACAAACAAAAATTTAAAACAATCAGATTAAAAATTGTCCTTGATTTCTTTAGATTTCCGAAGGTTTTTTTTCAAGCATTGTATCAATTTGTTTTCATCGTACATATAGGTTGTACATTTGTGTCTTTGTAAGGAATGTGTAAATATATTTTTGCTTTGTTTTGCTTATCTCTAAATTTAAGCGACATGATGTTACAAGATAGGTGAAGCTAGCAAAACAATTCATTTCTACTCTTTACAGATTGTAGACGGTATTTCTATATGCTATCACTATCAACAATTATTTGCATGTTTTGCATGTTATACTTTTAAACACGTACGTGAGAGTAATGTAGAATGCGGTAATGTTTCTTTATAATTGGTGACATAGGTTATGTATTTATCATTTGTGGACGGTTTTGAATAGTTGTATTTTTCTATCAGTACTACGTTTTTTGTTAATTTTAGGGTTACTGGTCTTTATCCGTCGTGGGAGAGATTTGGAATATATTACGCGGATGTATTCGCAATGCATTTTAGTGGTGAAATAATGACCATAGGAATCATGGGAGTATTTTATAGTCCACAAGTTTCTCAAAGCGTAGCATCACTGGTTATATCAGCAACAACTCTGTTTTCCTCAGGATTCATCAGGTAAACTATTTACTCTTGTTTCACGTATGTATGAAAAAAATCTGTTTTAATGAGACTCTTTTATTTTACAAAATGAATGTTATTATATAGTTCTTTAGACTTTTAAATATTTAGCTCCCGATTAAGATTTATACACCCTCCACCTCTCCCCATCCAAAATTGTTGTTTATTCAAGGCAGTAGGCAATTATAAAGTAGGTAACTGAAAATATATCAAAAGGATAGAAATACAAGTATTTACCCTGTAAAATAAGATACTGGCCCTGAAGGAAACGAATGAACGCATCTTAAATTTCACATTTCCTTCTAAATCAGATTATATAGAGCATTCCAATGCTTTTCAATGATTTATTACTATTAAACACTAACCACCTCTTAAGGGGAAGTCGTAAAAAACCTATCTCCAGATGGAAGATAATGAAAAAAAATTTTGGAACTTTGAAGGATAATTTTGAATATTGCATACATTTCAATAAAGTGGGTGTTTTCGTATTCCTGAAAATGTATATGTGCATTAAGAGCTATATTATTTTTTCAATTTACTTTCAGAACACTGCCAGACATTTTGCAAATATTTCAATGGCTAAGTTGGGGCGTTGTAATGAAATATGGAGCAGAAATTGTAGTAGCTAATGAATTCCACAACCTCAATATCAGCTGTGTGGCAAACAAAGAAGGTATATAACAAACACGGTTCTTTTTTCTCGTTTGGATTGTTTTACATTTGTCATTTTGGGGCCTTTTATAGCTAGATATGTGGTATGGATTTTGTTTATTGTTGTAGGTCGGACGGTGACCTTTAGTTGTCAATTTCTACGTCATTTGGTCTCTGGTGGAGAGTTATTTCATTGGCAATCATACCAAATCTTCTTATTCTTATAACATATGATACATAAGGGATGGACAGATGAAAATGACTTGTAAATGCATTTAAGAATTTTAATACCGGCATGTTTCCAATACTGTTTTTTTTTCTTCGCCCTTTCTTCTGTTCCCTGTACTTTGGGTTTTGGGGAACCAGTTAATTTATAGAATGTTCGTGAAATATGTGTAGATTTGCATCAATGTTTCAGATGATTGAATTATGTTTGCCAGACGTCCAGTGGCAAATATGTCATGCATACTTAGGAAACAAAAATAACAATTAACCCAATAGACTAGAATGGAGGATGAGAAAATTAAACTTCCACTTGAAAAGAGTGTTATTAAGAAGGGGACAAAAATTATTCTGCAACATGACACACACGACCTCCCCCCTAACGAAATATTCTCTTTTGCCTATAGATGACATTTTGTGTCGTTGGTTTGCTTTTTTCATTGCCATATATCCTAGATTTCTTTTCATTCATACAATGCTATGTACTGGTCTCGTGTAAGGTGTAGTTGTTCAATCGGATGTGCATATATATGTTTATGTATGGTATTAATACACAGTTATTATTTTAGATGACTTATTACTGTCCTAATTTAAGTTTATATAGTATAGGTGTATTTTGCCTTGAGCTCGATCGTGAAGATGTTTAACCCTATTTTTTCTATTAATTAACCGTTTCCATTTGTCCTGAACGTGCACGACATATTTGACCCTGGATAATTAACTTGCTATGATCAACCAATTAATCAATATCATTTACCTTTGTTGCAAAACAGCTGAAGTTGACGAAACAATTAAGCTTTACTTACTACACTGTTTTCAAGAATCCAATGATATGGCTAAAATGTTTGACATTTTATAAGTACAACGGGTTGGAATTATTGCATCACTGACTTTCAGTAAATCATTTAAGTAGTTGGTGGTGAAAGAAAAAAAGTGTGATCCGATATATGATTGGTTATTGTAGGATATATTTTTTTACATTTATAGATAATTTCTATGTGTTAGTACCACTGTCGGCATTTTATTGTGTCTTTATAATCCCATAAAGTATCAGATTGCCGACTGGAAATATCACTGGGAAAGTTAATAACTTACTAACAGGATTTTTATGGGAATACAGATGCATACGATTTTCACTGCCTAGAGAAAGGAAATACTCAGCAGTTAATCTAGGGTAATAACAACAATTCTTAAGGAGCCAGTAACCCACGTATCTTGAGCCCGGATCAATACCTACGGACCTGGGAGCCCTATCATTATAACCTGGACCCTTATCAGTCAGTACAATGCTCTATTATTGGAGGCAGGAGTCCCCAAAACCTTGTTCAAAGAAGCCTGGAGCCCATAATGTAAGAGCCTGTAACCATAATGTAAAAGTAGGAAGGACTCCGGACCCCAGAGCTCGTGTTATCCACCTACAAGAATATTTACGGCAGGTCCACACTTTATATATCTTTTTTTATTCGAAAAGAAACCATAATTTAATGCACGTGTTACGTCACAAACTTTACTATTACGTGCAAACCGTTAACCAATATATTTTTAGAACTATACGATTTTATTTATATAACTATTCTATGTAGATGTGATAAAAGCAAGAACCGTCCTCTCGCTTCATGCAATTCCCTAAACAGTGGCGGATCCGCCGGGAGGGGGGTTCCGTGGGTTGGAACCCCCCTTTTTTTGACGATCAATGCATTTGAATGGGGACATATAGTTGGAACCCTCCCCATTTTATAAATGGCTGGATCCGCCCCTGCCTAAAGCTCACGAAATAATTCAAATTTTAAAACAGTCGTTCATATAGTGTTAGCCGGTCCCTTTCTGTCTCATTGCATGACTACCTGTTACCTTGTATTGTCCATGTTAGAGTGGAATCTGCTTTATCTTAGTTCTGCGATTACACTGCGTTTAATTTATAACCTTGAAAAGGTTAAGTCATCAGAAATTGATTTTAATCATGAATTATATTACTAGTCTATGAACCAGGTAGGGTATTTACAAGGAGTACATATTATACAAACATCATTATCAGGCGATGACTATTAAATTTGTGTTTGCATAAATGAAAACGAAATTTGATTAAAACTGCATAAATTTGTTGTAGAAGTTAGAACTATGTTTATTTTTAAGTTTAAACACAAAATTAACAAACCATAATTTAGTCCTGATTTAATGATCAAAAAAATGTTCCTCTTCAAATATAAGGGGAAGTAACTGTGTATTACTGCGATGAACCATAAGAACGCTAGATTTGTGTGTTTATTGTCCCTAAATTTATTTGCTGTTTTTTTTTTATAACTAATATCATATACCATATCATACTAATGCTTGCTGTCACCTTTATTTTACCGTTCACTGTGAATTCACTATGTAATGAGTGATAGCAATGTCGAGCTACTAGAACAGGTCATTTTTTCAAGATGAAACATATTATAAGGTTGCTGAATAAATCAAAAGTTTCTGAAACCATGGAAGTAATATTGAATATTGAATATTTGAATATTTGAATATTACTTCCATGCTGAAACCAATCATATTTCCATAGTTTTCACGGTTGCAATTAAAACCAATAAGATATTTGTCAAATCCATTTTTCTCTCCATGCCTGAATTAGCGCATTTGACTGGTCATTTTCTTTCATTGGAAAAGGGGGTGGGAGGAAACATCTGAATTTCTCTTATTTTTTTCCAAGTCCACACCTCTAAGAAGGAAAATAAATTCAAGACCCCTTCTTTCAAAGACATGAAAAATTTAAATCCTAGATATCATCTTGAACCATTGAAATATATCCTCAAATACAAATTTTACGAATAATCATGTAAGAAACAACCATTAATATTATAATCAGTGTTTTTATTATATGGAAAAGGGTATAATAAAAATGTGAACGTGGAATAGTTCTTTTTGGTTTGTTTGTTGGTTTATGGCTATAATAGCTGGAATGAAAAACCAATTCTTTGTAAAATAATAGTTCTTTATTAATTGCTGGTCAATGTTCAAGTGACCACAATTTCATTCCCAGGTGAGGCCCAATTAGGTAAAATAATTATATACACAAAGGAAAATATCTCATAAACCCTGTCACTGGCCCCATGCCCCATGTCACCTAAGAGCTAAAATCTATGATAGCGTAAATCTTTTGTAGAAAATGTCAAATAATAGCTATTTTAATTCTTTGTCGAATTCTGGTATTTTATATAATCTCTTTTAAAATTAACTTATAAATTCGGGTGACATGACGACAGTGAAATTCTTTTATTTACAAAATAAATCAAAACTCATTTCTATAAAAACTATAGTAAAAATATGTAAAAGATCTATAAGAAAAAGTGATGGTGCATTTTTCCTTATCACAAATACATCAAACCATTATTATTATTCCCTATTATTGTCATTCTTCATGTCCAACAAACCAACAGAAGATGGTCATGACTCACATGAATAAACTGACATTGAAATGAAGTGTGAAGCCAAAAATTATGACACAAGAGATACAGATATGACATCTGAATCAAGTGTACCAGCCCAGTAGTCAGCACTTCGGTGTTGACATGAATATCAATTATATGGTCATTTTTATAAATTTATGAAGAGCATTGAGGACCATAAATTCCAAAAAGTTGTGCCAAATATGGCTACGGTAATCTATGCCTGGGATAAGAAAATCCGTAGTATTTCGAATAATTAATACTTTTGCAAACAGTAAATTTATAAAAATGACCATATAATTGATATTCATGTCAACACCGAAGTGCTGACTACTGGGCTGGTGATACCCTCGGGGACGAAACGTCCACCAGCAGTGGCATCGACCCAGTGGTGTAAATAGTTATCAAAGGTACCAGGCTTATAATTTGATACGCCAGACGCGCGTTTCGTCTACATAAGACTCATCAGTGACGCTCAGATCAAAATAGTTAGAAAGCCAAACAAGTATAAAGTTGAAGAGCATTGAGGACCCAAAATTCCAAAAAGTTGAGCCAAATATGGCTAAAGTAATCTATGCCTGGGATAAGAAAATCCTTAGTATTTCGAATAGTATATACTTTTGCAAACAATAAATGTATATGATAGCTTATGTTTTCCTGTTATTCAAAATAAATGAAAAGGGTAGGGCACTGGATGTCTCAGCTGCTCATCGCTATCAAAAATAAAATGACTGAACTCAAGTAGGGACTTCTAGCACTTTTGTTTTTTTCAATTAGCAGAAAGCATATTGTTTTAAACTTTAATAAAATTGAGTTTTACATCGCACACAGCTTAAAAGGTGCCCACTTTCTATTCTCAATTTTATTGTCGGGTGTTAGAAGTCCAAGTGATAAAGTTTTATGTATTAAGTATTACAGTAGTATCTTGTTGCAATCGCGATTGCTAATTTTAATCTCATAAATATCAGGTCTTTCTGTCGTTTTCAGTAGTGAGTACCTTTTTATCAAAACGAGGTACAAGAATATTATGTTTGCTCGTGATATACTTTGAACTGCTCCTTTATACATAATAAAATGACAAATATAGAAAGATTTTAGTGAAAAATGATAATGAGTAGTATTGCATCATCTCTGTTTGTCTGACCGTTCCTAGCTTTTTTCCATAATCATAATAATTTCCAAATCATAACCATAAACACATCAATTTTTTTGTAGGTGTTCCATGTCAGTATCCAAATGGAGACATGTATCTAGACGATTTTTATCCGGACTCTTGGGAAAACATGGAAAGGAACTTTTACGCTCTTGGTGGATTTATTGTGCTGTTTACTGTTCTGACTATAACTGCATTCAATATAAGAGGAATACCAAACCTTCATTAATGTAATTATAAAATATTGAACTATGAGGTAGAACCTAATAACATGTATCATTATGTGAACTCAGGATCTGTTTTTGGTTTGAATAACTAATATAAGATATTTCTCTAAATAGTTTTTATGACACAAAGAGACAGTAAAAAATCTGGGTTTTTTTCGCTGATAAAGCATGTCTTCTTAATGAGATATTGCATATGTTGTAAATATTATAAAAAAATGACACCAATTAAACAAAAAATATTAAAATATTGATATGTGTTTGAAAAAGGTGAAATATTGGAGTATACTATGATTTGTAATTTTTTTAATTTCGTTATCATTGAAATATGCTATTTGTTCACCTGGACAATGCAGAATGTAATAAAACAGGGCTCCCTAAGTCTGCTTTCCTGGGATGCTTAGGGATATTGTATAGCAGAGGAAATTTGAATAAAACGATTTATCAATTTACAAAAAAAAAATTGATATGTGTTCTTACGTCGAGTTGTTTGTATTGAGAATAATTTATATTTTTTTTTAGAATTTTGAGTAAATTTTTGATGTTTGTACTGAAATCGGTGAATGACAAATTTTGTTTTTTTGTTTTTAGAAAATTTGTCCAAAGAATAAGCTAAATTGTGGAGTTTTCAATTTTTCTAAGGCTAAACCAAGATACGTAATACAAATGTTGACTCATTTTTTAGTACTTTTATTTATAATGTTGATCCATTTTAAACTATCAGATAATGCATTAACGACATCCTCCACTTTATAATTGATTAATAGTCTAAATTGGTTGGAAGTGGAAGAACGAATTCAATATCAAAAGGCAATATTTGTATTTAAACCATTAAAGGATATGGTTCCTAACTGTATACGAGAAAAGCTTTATTTTACTGACAATCAAAATTATAATTTACGTTCAGCTGATGAAAATCTATTGAAACTCTCGAAGCCAAAACATTTTTTTTAAGAAAACTTTTATATATTCTTGTTCTCAAATATGAAACAGTTTACCAAATGAAATAAAGATGAGTAATACACTTGTATCTTTTAAAACAAAATGTTACAATTTGTTCATGAAGAATTCAGATTAATATGCTTGTTCATTGACATCTATATAAAATTGTATATTGTGTATATACCATTATGATATTGTATGTACTTTATGTATATGTTATTATTACTTAGAGGACTTCCAGGAAGATTAGTTTTACCTATGGGATTATCCTCTTGAAATAAAGATTATTTATTTATTTATATAATGACAAAATTATGAAACACCTTTATTTCGTGATGATTATACCGAAATGTAACTTAAAAAACTAACCGAAGGGAACCGCGTATTATTACATGAAATAGGTATATAAGTAAATATCAGCTTGTGACAAATGATAACATTGAGATCAGTTTTTATCTTGCAATCAGCTTACTATGATCAATTACACGTATTGCACAATTAACAGTATGAGTATACCAATTATCGATTGCTTTGTTTGTATACGGTATACCGATAAAATCTCCTGGTTTCCTGCCTATTTTTTTGAGCGAACGGTAATATTGAGTGCTAACGCCATTGAAAATTTATCTATAGTCAGCTTTGCCTAACGGATTTGGAACCATAGTTTCTTAAAAATTTATCAACGGAAAATTCAGGAAACGTATGTTATGTAAATCATAACTGTATACCGAAGCACCGACTACTGAGCTAGCGATACCGTCAGTGAGTTACAGTCCACCAGCAGTGGTATCAACCCAGTATCGTCAAAATAAAAAGAAGACGAGGTAAGATTGCCAACTCTCCACCAGACAACAAATGAAAGAAGCTAGCCAATGGGATTAACATTGTTTTAACGTAAATATTAAGTAGCAGGATAAAACAACATTCAACCTCAGTTTTTCTTCCAGTTTCTGAAGCTGGTATAAATAAATAAATGTTGTTTCGTACATTTTACGAATATTGTATAAATGTCATGATTAATTCATTGATAACGGCTTTGGCTATACTATTGTCTTCATTGGTTTATAAGCTCCAGAGTCTGTTTTTGATTTTTCAAAGTAATTTGGCCTCGAGCATCACTGAAGAGACATTTTTTTTTATCGAATGCGCATCTGGTGCAGTAAATTAAAATTAATGTTTTCAACTTGTTTTTACAAATATCATTTAATGCCTCGTTCACACGTACATTTAATACGAATTGAATTCGAATCGAATTCGCTAATCGCGTTCACACACTCTTCTTTTTAAATTTGAATTGATTCGAATTGGCTAAATCGCATTATCCAATTCGCATTAGAAATACGTTTTTGTTAATACGAATTGAAAGTTAACGTCGTTCGGACAGTAAAGCGAATTTGACGCGCATTGCAATTCGAATTCGAATTTACGTTTGGACGTAAAACGTTTCGAATGCGAATTAAACTAATTCGAATTAGTTAATGCGAATCGAATTCGAATTACGTATGAACGCAGCATAAGTTTAATAAAGATACAATAAAAAAGAGTTCAAGAGAGCATCGATGTCAATTTAATTTTATGAAACAAATAAGAACAAACAAATATACAAAAATGACAAACCAATCAAATGACCAAAAAAATTAACGCAACAGTACTTTACTAATGTGTAAATTTCATAAATCGATTAATCGATTACTAAGACAAAAACTAATGAAATCGAATAAAATCCAAAACGCGCAAAACAGGGTGTGTCTACAGGGAAAGCGTCTTCTCCCATACAAATTCACACTCTGTCAAAATATCACAGTTGGAAATAACCTTGACACAATCTGTAAAATAATAGATTAAAAAAATGTACCAGTAAGTTGTTTCTGTTGAATTTTTTGTATAGACTCAAACGATTTATAGCTTGACATTCGTCTGGTAGTCAAAATCGTATTGACCATATTGTATAACGTTTTAACTTTATTAGCGTTATTGCAGTCTTATTGATGTCATCTCTACATTTCTTGTCAATTTAATCTGAAGGCGTAAATGTACTTTACTTCAAGTTATATTCTAATCAAAATACTGAAGTCCTGATGACTCGATTAAACCCTTGATTTGATGTCTGAAGAATAAATAATATACTGGTCAACAAAAGAAACGACACAAGGCAATGTATTTTCCATTTAAAATGAAATTGGATACACTGTACCAAGGTAAATAATTGTCCAATTAGTCTAGTGTTATTTTCTTATCAAAACCATTGATTTAAGGCAATTACGCGATTTTTTTTTGTTGCAATTTTTGTTATTTCAAAAATCGTATTTTCACCCAAAATTCAAAAATCGATATTAGAACTAAAACCTTTAAACTAAAACATGGTCTGATTAAAATTTTGAATGCCTTTGCAAATATTTGAATACTTAATTCTCATCTTCGAAATTAAGTGTCGACTTTTGTCATCATTTTCCGCAAAAATAATTTTGACCCCTGTGTTCAATAACACGGTATTTTCTCAATTTCCAATTTGGTCAGATTCTTTTAATCACATGCATTTGCTTTGCAAATGAATGTTTTTCATTGGATAATTTAACAGTTTTTTCTATCTATTATATTTTATGATAAATTGGAATTCAAACTTGTGTATCGTTACTTTGTTGACAAGTATACATGTCTAAATATATTTGTAGACTGTTTGAAGTAACTTGTTTTCTTAGGTTCAGTGTCAAATATATCAATCACATTTTGAACAATAGCATACTTAAGGCAACAGTAATATACCAATTTTTCAAATTTCGGAAATACATTTAGATGACAAATCAAGGTAACCCGAAACAAACACTGCAGGAATCGCGTCAACCCCAAAAGGAGCGAGACCTGGTGCGTCGATAAAGTAAGCATCTACTGTTATGCACTCATCACCCACCATGCGAACCCACACTCAGTCAAAATGTCACAATCTGGATAAGGACACGATTGGTAACATTACAGATTATAGACGACTATTCTGATATCTAAATTTGAAGGCTATGATTAAATATTGTTAAATGATTTACTTAACATTTATCAATTTGGTAGGTTCTGTGGGCAGAATGGATCGAAATAGACAACTGAAAAAGGAGAAAGGTGTTAGTGCTCTCTGAACGCAGCATTAATTCAATGAATGTTCGCTTCGCATTCCAATCGGACATGACTATGTATAAACAGCCAAACAGTGACCTTAACTAGACATTAGGGAAGTCCAAATGACAATAATAGTATACTAATGTTGGCATTGTTTGATTATACAGTATGAGGTGGTTGTCCAAAGACCTTGGCATAAACCTTATTTTAATTTAAACGCAATTTCGAAGCAATTGAAGAATAAGGACTTGCAACTCCCAAACCTTTTTCTTTACAAAATATCACACTGATTTGATTTTACATATATATTGGCAGTGTAATGTGAGCATTGATTTTTCATATATATCAGGAGTTTTGGACATTTCTATTCTATAATTAATGTCATGTAAGTATACAGTAACACACTTTGATAGACATAAATAAGGAGATATTGAGTAAAAGTCAGCTCGTCAGCAATCCAACGCAATAAAGTAACCAGTATAGACATCTGTTGACTATATTGAAAATTTAGAGTCTATCGTAAACTCAACTCCGCTTGCTGGACTTCTAACATTGGAATAAAGTGCATACATGTCTGACATTAAAATGTCGACCGAAAGAAAATATTTATGAATTTGTTGTGTATATTTTTTATAGAATTTCAACAAGTTATTTCGTTAGCTATTTCATAAGAATCTTTTAGAATTGGTCAAAATATTACCAAAAGATTTAAATAGTCCTTTATATTTTTTGTCTGTATTTAGTTAAGTTTTGAAAAATGAAAGCATTGCTGATTTGACATTTATAATATGTATACTGAAATTCCATGCACTGGAAATAGGTGTTGTACGTATGATTTCATGACACAAACCCGTACATGCATTTACCAAAAGCTCAAGGAGGAAAGAAGCAGTAGTGCTATTTTATGCATTTACTTAAGATATAGTCACCAAACAGTTCTTCTGTGTCAGCTGTAATCAAGTGGGCTCATGCAGTTTATTACGTATATCATAGCCCTATAAAAGATCTAATACGTATAATCATGAGGGTATGTTGTCTCTATGGTGATATCTAGATATAAAATAGTATAAGTAATAACAATGCCAATTTCAGTCAGGTAAAGTAAAATAAGAAAAAAAAACTTGAAAACTGGATTTAAAATAAATAACACAGTAGGCCTATAGTGATTTGAAAATTACGGATATACACCTGAAATATTGGTGAAAATATATTCAATATAAATAAATCTTTTTGCAAAATAAATGCATTCATGTATTATTTAAAAAAAAAGGATTAACTTAAATGTATCAATATGAAAGTTTCATGTTATCATTATATAAATACCACAAGTCATCTGATAATATGTGAATCGATCGATGATGTAAAAATGTAAATGACAATGTGTATTCACCTTCATCCGCACGCAAGTCGCAAGTCAAATTTCATTATATTGAATATGATTATTTTCTCAAAAGTTTATAATATGTAACATAATCTCTAGCAGATAAATAATCACTTATTGAGTAATATTCATCCCGTCATAGCATTTTGAAATACTGTGAGAAGTTTGCGCAAGTGTAAGGTTCCACGTTCCCTTTGTTGCAAACTTGTCTTAATTACCAACAGAGAACATCCTAATTGGATCATCTGGCGATTGACTGTCAAAGATTAAGCCAGCAGTAGTTTACCGATGTTCAAATCTCGTTTGCGAAGAGACTAATGAATGTAACTAACAAAAAACGAACTCCAAAAGGAGCGAGACCGGGTGTGCCGATAGGGTAAAAAGTAAAATAACAAGAATACCGAACGACAAGGAAAATTCAAAAGCTCAAACACATCAAACGAATGGAAGACAACTGTCATATTCCTGACTTGGTACAGGCATCTCTACGCGTCTCCTGTTATGCATGCATCACTCGCCATACAAATTCTCGCTCAGTCAAAATGTCACAATCGGGAATAGGACACAATTGGTAACATTATAGATCACACGAGACTTTACCGGCATCTGAAAAGTAAGAACACGTAAACATGTCACTCGTGAGTTGAGGAACCGACACATCGTACCAGTCAACCAATTTATGATGGTGATCGTAAAACTGATGAAGAGTCGATTTTATTCGTTCTTCCTAATAACTCTGTTGGAGCAGTTTTTGTGTAAGGAGCACACACACCTGTTTATGAAGTCCGTATAATGTGAACATGTGCGAGCGTTACGTATTAACTGAGATATGTAAACGCTATACGATGGGGCAGATGGTATGTTACAGCTGAGAAACGGGAAGTTGACAATTTGAAAGTTGAAATAATCACGTTTGTCATAGATTCTAGTTTGAAGTCTTCTGTCTGTGTCAATTTCGAAGACAAGATCAAGATATGAAGCAGACCTTCTAATTTTGTAGTATCATTAATCTCACGTTTTCTGGGATATATGAGATGTAGCATCTCATTGAAATGTGGGTTATTGAGTGACATTATATCTGAATGTGAGATTAAAGAAACTTGCAAGATGCTTTTTCTTTTTGTCTTTAAGAAGGTTCTGTATGAATTTTGCCTCATATGAGTTCAAAAACAAGTCTGCAGTAGTCGCGTACAATTAGGACATATAATCCTGACATCATGAGGGCACTTTTCAGTAAACGTGATGGGTTGAAAAAAGTTTTACAACAGGCCACAGCTTTCAATTGTAGGACAGTCATTTCGCTCCAATTATAATGAATCTTGTTTACTATCCGGCGTGGCGTTATATTTACATAGTAAAACGATCATGCCTACGTTTTTATATATCAAGTAAAGCAAAATGGACGCTCCCCCTGAGCATGAGAAGCTTTTGTACACAAAGAGTGCCTGGCATACGCATACACGTGTGTATGTAAGTCCCTAATCAGGTCGGACGTGGCTTTGTATGAACAAAATCTGTAAAGCCACACTGGTTTCCTTTAGTAAGAGTAGTTTTAAGG